ATGAGGGCTAAATGTAGCAGCTTCCATTCAAGGCAGCGAGGAAAATGAAAACAGGTTGAGACTTGGTTGAGGGGACAGGCACACGGGGGAAGACTGGGAGGGATGGCGAGCTCAACGATTTGGGTGGGCAGATGGTACCGACATATGGGCCTGTTAGGGGCTAAATAAATAAATAAACACTCGCACATAAATACTGAGATGAACTGTGAGTGCCACACACTGTCGGCCAACTTAGCCAGCTGAGAGAGAGAGTGAGAGCGCAAATGGGAGAGAGCTTCCGCTGAAATGGCTGGCAGATTTCTAAATAGAACACCACTGCAGAAAAAACATGCGCGCACACACAGTTGTGATGGGGATGACAATAGGCTTTGCAGATTTGAGCCTCAGTGTGATGCCTAATCTCCAAGTAAGTGTACATCATCAATGTGGGTATTTTAACAAAAGAGGGGGGTAAAAGATACAGAGAGAATATAATCTGGGTTTCAAATGTGGATGCACTAAATATAGTCTCCATATACAGGTCATGGAGTGGCAAAGCTTTTTCTTCCATCTCCCCTTTCTGCCTCTGTCTGGTTCAGCTGCTGTCATGTCTGCCTTGCTTCCACGCTACTATCTATACCTTCTCCACATCTCGCCTGCCTCCTGCTCAACCCTCAAAATCTTGTGGCTAGTTCCTGAGAGAGGCGTTATCCTGCAAATTCTCCACCCATATCAACTGTACACTAATGCCAATCTTTTGTCAGGATCTGGCGTCCGGCATAGGGAAACAAATATAGTAAGACTGATACGGTACTGGTGTCTGTCTGCCTGCCTGCTTGCTCTCTGAGCAATTTACAGATGTTTGTGCACATAAATTGTACAGGTGATCATCAGATTAAAATTTAGAAATTCATTTTTGACTTCCTCTGGCTGAAATGTACCACCTGCCTTCATTACACTGCCTCACACATTTCCATAGACGCCTCTGTGCACCCAAAGATGATGTTATGAGCACTTGTTTATAGGCTGTTTATACTGAAAATTTCAAGTGTGTACATGGGTTTAATGTGTATGCAACTATTTCAACAACAACCTATCCTCGACAATTTTTGAGAGTAGTTGGCTGACATAAGCATTAAAAATGCAGATACTCCGTTATGCTCCTACCTTGGTTCGGTACTTGCGAGTGAAACATTCTTTTTTTCGTTGATTATGTTTTCTCGGTACAGGATATCGAAAGCAGCCATAAAGTATGCTAAATGTAACTCAACACTGTATCTGTGGCATGCCGATATAAATATGTCAAATCAACCGAGGTCCGGATGTTTGTCTGTACACATCTTTAGATTTCTACAAGCACATTAGTAAAGCCTAAAACCAAAAAAACAAACAAACAAAAGAGTGCATTCCTTCTGGTGCACGCACTTTTTTGATTGGTTGACATCACTGCCATCTCGCCACTTTATATTCTGCTTGGCTCTCTGCCCTCGTCATGTCTGCAAATTTAATTTGATTGCAGCTGTAATCTGCCAGCTAGTTGATTGACTTTGCCAAGCATTGTCCCTCTCCTGCCTTAATGGAGAAGGGGTAGTTTAAGTTACAACGTCTTATCCTGTCCCTGCAAACCTGCACTCCCATTGTGTGCTTTGGTCACCAGAGAGTACTCTTCTAGAACTGGGTAAACTAATGGGATCTCCAGGGAGAATTTGAGCTGACCTGAATTTTCTGTCATCCGTCTTGTTGTCACATTAGACCGGAAGGTCTTCAGTGATGGCCCTCTGACAAATTCAATTCTTAAGTTATCGGTTGCTGTGAATCATCATATGTCAAATATGTTTCCAAAAATTATTTATATTCTCATACAGCCCAACTGGATTAGCAAATACATTTTGAAGAAAAGCGATATCATCATGATTGTATTTTTATTGACAATAAAAATGACATCACTGTCAGTCTGTACTCGGGTCACATTCACTCACTTGTGCTGGGGTTTCTAAGCCCAGAGTTTAATCTGTTGTCATGAGAAATCCCAGAAGTGTAATAATAATTCAACACTTAAACTTTATATGATGATGAAGGCCATGGGTCAAGGTTAAAAGCTACAAAAGGAAGAAGTATGTCATGTTTATACTGAAGCTGTTGGGTTAATGGCAGTTCAGGCAGGACCACTTTAGCAAAAAGATTATTGATATTTAAGTCTATACTAATTTATTATTTGGCAAAATGACTTTGTTGTGGCACCTTCTTGATCTTCCAAATACACTCATGAAAAGTCAAAGATGGCAAGAAGAGCAGCACAATCCCGAGCACTTAACACGGCAATGACAACAGAGACAACAGATATTACACTAAGTAAAGGCTTCCTCTCCTCACCCCCAACCGGTTGCATGGTTGCAGATGGATGCCCCTCCCTGAGCGGTTCTGCTGGAGGTTTCTTACTGTTAAAAGGGATTTTTTCCTTTCCACTGTCACCCCAGTGTCATAGGGGGATTGTTGTTGGTGATTTCTCCCTGTTAATGTAGAGTCTTTACCTTACGAGATAAAGTGCCATGAAGCAACTTTTATTGTGATCTGGTGCTACATAAATACAATTGAACTAAACCAAATTGTACGATACAACATGAGATGAGGATCGGGGGTGCAAGTGGGTTGTGAATCAGCTTGCAGATTGCAGTTGTGCAGAGGATGGTAGCTGGGCCATGGGTTTTTGTAAACTTGTATTTAGCTCCTCTGGTCTGTCAGAATTGCAGCTAATCTTACAGTCAAGCTAAAAGAAAGCATGGGTGGAGACTACAGCGTGACATATGATTGCAATCTCATTGCTTTTGAAAAAGCTGCTGTGAAGACAGGAACCAGGTTTGCGATCACTTGCAGTCGATTGCCATCTTCAAAATGACTTTGGTCAAGATGGTGGTGAAACAAAAACGATAAAATAGATGGATAAGAAGATAGACCAGTTATATTCTACTCAATGAATTGGCATTTGCAATCTGTTGTCATTTGTATATACAGGAATTCACATGACCAATTTACATTCAGAATCAAACTAGAACCTACTTGAAATGTGAAATTATGAAATTCCTTCACAAATAGTGACTTTGTTGATGCACTCAACAATCTAAACTAAATTACTTGATTTTTTGAAATTTAGTGCTGGTCAAGGTTAACAAGAACTCCTACCAAAGCAGACTATTATGCCAAATTCCAGTCTAAAACATACACAGGTTAAGAATTTGGGATGTAAAATTTGTTAACACAAATATCAACAAGTGCAAAACTTTAAATATCTTAATTCGTTTGGTTTAAAGATTCCAAGGTCCAACATTGCTGAACTGGGAGAGAATGAATGTGGCAACATTGGTACTGGAATTTTCTTCCATTAATGACATGTTTTCGATGCTTTGGGGACTGTCGACAGCGTGCACACTTTTAATGCTTTTAATACATGCTTCAGTGTGTGACCAATTTAGAGTTACCACACTTAATGGCTACCTTTAATTTTCTGCACATCATTAGGGGTCTCCTTTGAGGCACAACAGATGATCATTAGCTTTTAGTTATTTGTTAAGCTACAATACAGCTCTAGCATTTTTAAATGAACTACAGCCAGATTCACAGCCAGAACAAAATAAAATCAGTAAAAGAAAATTCACGGGCATTGCTCAAATGTGAAATTGATATCCAGGATCTAACAACATCTCCCATCTTTCATACAGTTGATTACCCACACTCACTACATTAAAGGCACTGGTACTTATATAGCACCTTTCTACTTAATTTGGGTACTCAAAGCGCTTGCTTTCTTTCATCCAATAACACTTACACATTCATAAAGTGTTTCTTTATCTACACCTGAGCACTTTTATCTAACATTCAAAACACACATCACACAAATAATGGGACAAATCAGGCAAATCCTTCATTCAACACAGTGCCTCTAAGAGCCCAGATTTGATTCACTGACCCTGGTAGGTTGGTAGACCGCTCACCTAACCACCTGGTTCTTCAACCAGCATTTGTTGCAAGTCAGTCATTGTGGTGTGTTGGCTGACTAACAAATACTGTTCGGGTCCACATGCTGCTAAACCCCCATTTTTAAAAATGAATACATTTACAGATTGACAATATGCCTTGTTTCTTCAGACTTCAACCATCCAATCCAATAAATGGCATCAAACAATAGTCAATAGCAGAATAAGCTGTTTGGCATTGGAAGAAAAGATTTGGTACGTTTTTCACTGTGCAACCCACGTAATCGACTCTGTTGCTCAACCCCCTCACAAAACACGGCATCATTTAAGGGAAAATGAAGGCTTTCCAATGGTATAAGCTTTATTCTCAAGCAAGACTGTTACAAGAAAGAAATAACTGGCCAAAAACAAATTTCCTTAATTTTTGCGTTTATACTTAAAGTGTAACTAGGCCATGAACTGAAACCAAAGCCTGGTTTTAACTTTGTTTCTTATAACTTTGGTATTGACAGACTATCCGATCAATATGTGGGTTAATGGTGAATGCAGGATGATCAATTGTCCTGGTTTATATTTTTTAGTTCACCAGCTGGCCCACAATACAGAGCAAAGAAAAAAAGAAAACCGTTTGTGATGTACTTAGATAGTATGTCTGTTAAGAAGTAAAGAAATGCAAATTAAACTGCCAACAAGGTAAACGCTACACAAGAGAACTGCAATAGAGAAAAAGCTGCACCCACAGAGGAGTTCTGAGTTAGCCTGCAGTTGAACTGTTAGCAGCAGTGAAATAACGCTGTTTGTTCCCACTGACTAATTTAATAAAGAGAAACTCTGAGAACTTCATTACAATGTTATCAGATCATTAATAAAATGAATCTGACTGGGCATGAACACACATGCGAGATAAACATTGACACACACACACACACACACACACACGCACACAAAATCATTTGGATTTTTTTTTTTTTTTTTGACTGACAGACATGTATTTCTGCACTGTACACACAAACATTTACACGAGTGTCAGAGTCACTGTGAGTAACTTACGGGTTTCCATAGTCCCAGACAACGCACTGAGGATCTGATGTACCCTGCAAGATACAGGGTGAGGGGAGGGGGGGAGAGGAGAAGATAAGCTGTTATTGCCAGTCAAGAGGATGAGTGAGAGAGAAGGCAGCAGAGAGAGAACACAGAATAGCTCATTGCCAGAGGAGAAAGAGTGATGCTGCATGGATGACGGTAAGAAGTAAACAGACAATGAAAGTGAAGGATTGAGATAGACGACAGGAGGGAGAGATGGAAAAAGAGTCATTGTCAGAGGACAACGCAGCAAACAGCTGCTTCTGCTGCTGCAGCCGAAGAGAAAAAAAGGTGCATGAGCTATAAATTGAGAGTTTTAGGGATGACAAAGGAAAAGCCATTTCATGGACAATAACTAGGGTCGTAAACATCCTGTGGGGTAAAAACATTAACATTCTTCACTTAAGTGCAACCACAGCAAAAAGTAGTCAGTTAAGTGTAAAAAGCTATGAAGTAAAATGTTATTAATTAAACATTTGGCCCTTTAAGAGTGTGCAAAGTTTCACTAATGTACCATTTTTTTCTTTTTAAAAAAGCAAAGTCAAAGTAACTGGATGCTGGTGATTTTCTCTCAGCTTACCCTTAATCCATTTAGTCATTGAAGCTAAAGTTCGCTCAGTGGCATGTGGTGGCAAAGAAAGACTTGTCATGACTCAATCAGAGAATCAATCATGGGATCAATATCTTTAACCAGCTCATAGCAACTTGTTCCACCAGAGATCTTCAGTGATCTCTGCATCGATCACTTTTTAAATGGAGCCTCTATGTCCTTTCAACCTGTGTGCTTGGTAACGAGTGGACTGTGACTTGGTTTTGTCTGAATCAAATGGTTATTTGAAACATTTTTGCTTCAATCAAGTGACTGAAAACACTTAAAATGGCGCTTTGGACCTGACAAAATCAGCAACTATTTAAGAACCAACTATTAAAAACATTTTCTTGGTTCTGTGGGGTAACAAAAAAGAGTTCAGCTTCAATTTTAGTATCCACAACTGAAATGCTGGTATTCCACTGGGCCAACGCAGAGGAAAATCTACCATTATGTTGGCCCTTCCTGAATCCTGCATTAGGCACTTTGCCTTTGAGCTCCCCCTTATGGCAAAGGGGATTATAGCAGTAAGCCGACAGCCAGAGTGCTGTGTAGATTATAAAAAGGATAATGTGATCTTAACTGAAGCCTCAGGAAAATCTGAAGAAATTACTTCTCAAGTTAAAATGCTTTCTGATAATTAACTATATTTGAAATTGACAAAAAAGAAGGGAAGTAAGACATGCACATTGTAGCCTGAATTGTAAGGATTTATTCCTCTACAGGCAAGGTCATCCTTCCTTCTCTGAACAGTTCATTACTGATCTCCAATGAATCAGTGCATCCAGGGATCTCTGCATGACTGGACTTGAAAGGACAGGATGATGCAACATTTATATACTCGGGATCAGAGACTGGGTGACACGGATTGATGGATGACAGTGCTTTGTTCAGCCTCACACACAGACAGCCACCACCGACTATAGATGTCCCGTGGCGTGCATTAGCGTGCTGAGCTCTGTTAGCATTCAGCTATCAATCAACGAGTGTCCTATTGGACCATTCGCTACAGCGGGATTGACACCTGTGCACTCCTGCAGTGTCTGCCTCTTTTTTTAGTGCTCATACTTTGCATAATGACAGCGTCTGCTCAGCTGATGGTTATCAAAGGGAGAAACGTGCCTCTGCAATTCTAACAGTGGCATTTGTGGACAGTGATAGCTGGTACCTACCTTAAATACTCTGTCTTTTTTTCCTCTCTTTAAAGGAACAGCAGTTTCCTTTAACGCATTCAGCAATACATGCAATAATGAATACTGGCTGTGAATGGGCTAAGCTAATATGATGAAATGAGCTAATGTAACAAAACATGACTGCTCTGGTCTTAAAAGCCCTTCACTTTAAGATCATAGGTTTAGAGTATGAAATGGAGAAAACCAGGATGAGGCTTTTTGACTGATGAAAATGACCTAGATTACATTGAAATTACCAGGAAAGCTTATGGCTCAAGCTAACCAGAACTTTCTTTCATAATTTAAAAGGCTACATTAAGGATGGTTGAAGGAGGGGTTGTGGTGTAACACTTGGCATATGGTCTACAGCAGGGACACAGGACTTTCTGGCCTCCTGCTTTCTACCTACCATTAAAGACACACATACCCACGCACACACACATTAGGACACCGGGGAGATACACAGGGAGTCTGACTGGAGCAGATGTCCTCTCAGAGAAGACATGACCCAGCACAGAGACCCTAACATTCCCCTATGAGAGTGAAGCCTGAGGCAGCTGTTGCCAGGCCACTGCTGTAGCAGCTGGATGTTTCTACATTGGCCAAAGTCGACACAACTACAGAAGACACTGTATTCTGCCCTTTTAAAGAAAAAGCATTATTAATGCTGTATTAATATTATATGGAAAAACTGGAACTATTTTTTTCTTTGGTAGACATTTGAAGTTATTATTCTCAAGAGTTAACATCTAGATCACTGGCTGCTTGTTAGCCGACTCTGTCTAAATGTAACCTTTACAGGCGCTCCTACTCAGGAGTTGTTACCTTTACAGGGAGTGCAGAATTATTAGGCAAATGAGTATTTTGTCCACATCATCCTCTTCATGCATGTTGTCTTACTCCAAGCTGTATAGGCTCGAAAGCCTACTACCAATTAAGCATATTAGGTGATGTGCATCTCTGTAATGAGAAGGGGTGTGGTCTAATGACATCAACACCCTATATCAGGTGTGCATAATTATTAGGCAACGTCCTTTCCTTTGGCAAAATGGGTCAAAAGAAGGACTTGACAGGCTCAGAAAAGTCAAAAATAGTGAGATATCTTGCAGAGGGATGCAGCAGTCTCAAAATTGCAAAGCTTCTGAAGCGTGATCATCGAACAATCAAGCGTTTCATTCAAAATAGTCAACAGGGTCGCAAGAAGCGTGTGGAAAAACCAAGGCGCAAAATAACTGCCCATGAACTGAGAAAAGTCAAGCGTGCAGCTGCCAAGATGCCACTTGCCACCAGTTTGGCCATATTTCAGAGCTGCAACATCACTGGAGTGCCCAAAAGCACAAGGTGTGCAATACTCAGAGACATGGCCAAGGTAAGAAAGGCTGAAAGACGACCACCACTGAACAAGACACACAAGCTGAAACGTCAAGACTGGGCCAAGAAATATCTCAAGACTGATTTTTCTAAGGTTTTATGGACTGATGAAATGAGAGTGAGTCTTGATGGGCCAGATGGATGGGCCCGTGGCTGGATTGGTAAAGGGCAGAGAGCTCCAGTCCGACTCAGACGCCAGCAAGGTGGAGGTGGAGTACTGGTTTGGGCTGGTATCATCAAAGATGAGCTTGTGGGGCCTTTTCGGGTTGAGGATGGAGTCAAGCTCAACTCCCAGTCCTACTGCCAGTTTCTGGAAGACACCTTCTTCAAGCAGTGGTACAGGAAGAAGTCTGCATCCTTCAAGAAAAACATGATTTTCATGCAGGACAATGCTCCATCACACGCGTCCAAGTACTCCACAGCGTGGCTGGCAAGAAAGGGTATAAAAGAAGAAAAACTAATGACATGGCCTACCTTGTTCACCTGATCTGAACCCCATTGAGAACCTGTGGTCCATCATCAAATGTGAGATTTACAAGGAGGGAAAACAGTACACCTCTCTGAACAGTGTCTGGGAGGCTGTGGTTGCTGCTGCACGCAATGTTGATGGTGAACAGATCAAAACACTGACAGAATCCATGGATGGCAGGCTTTTGAGTGTCCTTGCAAAGAAAGGTGGCTATATTGGTCGCTGATTTGTTTTTGTTTTGTTTTTGAATGTCAGAAATGTATATTTGTGAATGTGGAGATGTTATATTGGTTTCACTGGTAAAAATAAATAATTGAAATGGGTATATATTTGTTTTTTGTTAAGTTGCCTAATAATTATGCACAGTAATAGTCACCTGCACACACAGATATCCCCCTAAAATAGCTAAAACTAAAAACAAACTAAAAACTACTTCCAAAAACATTCAGCTTTGATATTAATGAGTTTTTTGGGTTCATTGAGAACATGGTTGTTGTTCAATAATAAAATTATTCCTCAAAAACACAACTTGCCTAATAATTCTGCACTCCCTGTAATGAAGTTCTATCAAAAATATAGCCTATTTTAGTACTAGAAGACATGACGTTGCTCAGCTTCTTTTAATATTCTCTATTGTATTTTGTATTCAGGAGCTGCTAAAAGCCCAATTAATTTCAAGTAGCAATTACAGAATTGTGTGGCTATGATTAAAACCTGGTTACAGTTTAAATGAAGGCAGAGTGGTGCTGTGGTTAGCACTCTCACCTCACAGAAAGGTTCCTCACTTAAACTTCAGTCGGGGTTTTCCTGCTTGTTTTTTTTCTATGTACTCCCTGTGCTTCTGTGAATTTCTTCCAAATATTTCCAAAAACAGGTATTATATTCCTTTTAAAAAATATAAAGATTAGGATGAGGAAATATTTACTGTGCTGCTTCCAGGTCCTGACTTCCACCCTTCCCTACTACTGACTCTTGATGATCTTGTTTTTCATGTCCTTGGCTGAATTCGGAATCCTGCAGCCTCTTCAAAGTTGATAAAAGCTGACCAATCTTTTTGGTTGTGAAGCCTTACCTGTTTTGGTTAGCTTTCCTAAGTTTCTGCCTTTCTTGTTTTTTTCTTGCTAAACCTAAAAGATTTATCCTTAGCTGTTCTGCCTTCTCTTGCAGTCGCCAGAAGAAACTTGTAAGGGAGAGCTGCCATTTTCTTTTGACGTACACCTTTTTCTCCTATTTTTCTTTGGTTGATATGTAGTTGATGTATAGATTTGTAACCTTTCTTTTAACTAAGGTAATTTGTTGATGGAGTTTTATTTTAAGTTTGAGCTTTTTTTGTTTGGTGTACTCGCCTTATGCTTCATTGTTAACATTTTGGCAATAAATTGTTTAAACCAACCCAAACAAACTCCTCATGTTCCCCCATCTAGTATTATGGTACCTGTAGACCATTTTGGGAATGTAACATAGTTGGGAGCACATGTCGAGGACTTCTCATACCAGCACTAGATGGTGGAAGTTTGGTTTTGGAGACTGTTTGGTTTTTGGGTCTGTTAACAGCTGTGAGCATGACAACTGATCCGTTTGACTTACGTTTCAGAAAGAACCTTCTTGGGAGGAATAACATATGTGTAGCAAAGGTGATTTGCTGTCATAGCGGCACACTTCAAATTAAATTTTAAATTAAATAACATTTGAATTGAAAGAGATGACGAAGAACGGAGTAAAGTACTCGCTGGAACACAACATAAGCAAACCTAATTCTAGTCCGCTGAGTTCTCCCTGTCTGGTCACGGCAAACTCAGATGGCACTCAACGCTTCCTCACAAGTGAACGCAGACAGTAGCTGTGTCCTAAAACGTAGGCTGCATCCTTCGGAGGCCGCATTCGAAGGCCGATTACGTCACAGCTAGGTGACGAAGGCTGTCCAAATTCGTCGACTCCTTCAAATGCAGCCAACAAATGCGTCCTTTATTTCCCCGAATTTGAAGGATCGGTCAGGTGTGGCCCACCGTATCCCAGAATTCATAGCACGACCCAGCCAATTCCAATTCCCAACAATGGCGGCCGCTATTAAGTTTTAATATTACTCTTATTAATCTTTCTGGGTCACAAAACAAACTTTTAACATACTTTCAGGCGAGAAAGTAGCCATGTAAACTTCAAATATCTGCTTGGTTTATTAAGACATTGCATATTTGCAAAAGTGCTCCGACATTTTCAGAGACGTCTGTTACCCACCCGCTCGATAGCTAGCCGGGGGGGTTCAATGGTCACTCGACCCGGCGAGAGCAGCGGGACTCCCGGCTTCATCGTTTTCTCAGGTTAAAGATAATATATAAGTCACTCGGATGACTTAAAAATGTAATTGTTTGGCTTTTTTCGATGTTTTATTTGTTCTGCAGTAAATCGGTTTGGCGTAGATCAAAGTTATTAGAGTAGATTAGATTAAACAAAACTTTATTAATCCCTCGGGTGGGTTTCTCTGGGATTTTCACACAGCTGAATAAACATCAAACAAACTGTGAGAGGGTCAAGAATTTACGCCAGTGTTCTGTTATATTTTAGATAGCAAAGAGCAGACGGCCGAGTTTATTAAACTCCACCGAGACAGCGGTGACGCAAATCTGAAGGCTAGACTGTCGCATTTCACAACCTCGCACTTCCGTCCTTTTCGGTCTTCGAAGGACCTGGTCCATGTAGACCGAAGACCGGGTCCTCCGAAGGATTCGGCCTACGTTTTGGGACACAGCTAGTGTCTGTTTTTTTTCCGATACCTCACGCTGAGGACTGTATAGACAGCATCAGCTCAGCAACAGATGTCAGTAAGTTAGACCTCCTTACAGGTTACTGGCAAATCCTGCTTGCTGAAATAGCTTTTGAAGTCTCAGCATTTGTTACGCCTGATCACTTTTTGCAGTGTACTGTGATGGTCTTTTGAGATGAAAAATGCACCTGTGACCTTTCAAAGGCTAATGACCACCGTCCTGGGTAATGTTTCAAACTGCAATATTTATCTAGTTGATGTGGTTATTTATTTTCCCCATTGGGCATAGCACATTGCAACAATGAATCATTTTTTTGATTGATTAGCAGAAGCTTCTCTGACACTAAACTTGGCAATATGTGAGTTTGGCAAGGCTACTGTCACCTAACTTTTGAAGGAACCTTTATGACCAGATTCATCCTGTTGAGGCTAAGGTTTCTACCATTGTCGACCTTTCCTGTACCTACCTCCAGAAGGGAGATAGGTACATTCCTTGGGATGGCTAGATACTACAGTTCTTACTATAGAAAATCTCCCAAGTAAAGGCACCTCTAACTAGGTTGTGCAGCCCAATGTAGCTATTTGTCTGGAGCAGTTAATGGCAATGTGCTGTCGTTGCTATTCCAGATTTTTCCAAGCCTTTCCATACTCTTGTCATTTTTTTATACATACAGTTTTGCTTCAGCTTTTTTGTATGTTATAACCCGCTCTTCTCTGTGGCTGGCAAGGACCAATAACAGCACAAACAAGAGTAGCACACAGACCGATTGTTTGTGACACTGCCTCTTATAACCAACAACAACTTATAGACAACATCTGCAAAGTTGCCTGTAGTCTGTGTGCAAGGCCACTGTAAAACCATCATGCTTCTCCTTTAGCCATAAGATGGAATGGCGAACTGTCCAGCCCTGTGTCAGCAAGGATAAGCTGCTGACACACCTTCATGAAATTTTGCACATGTGTCAGGTCTGGTGAAAATCTATGTATTTTTGGGTCTTAAACATGGGCGGTTCAACATGATTCTACAGCGCCACCTACAATCGCTTTATTGAAGTACTAGTAGCAACATGAAGTAAGCATTAGGTGATAATCATCATCACTTCATCTACATGAAACTTTCATTAGTGGTTTATCAAATTACGTGCAGCAGCAGGACTTTTAGTTGGTGGACACTCTTTATCGCCACCTAGTGTTCACAGGTGATTAGCGGTAAATTTATACAACACCCAATTAGCATCCCAGGCTTAATTCATTCATGTTACCGCGTAACACGTCTTACCTTCAGCACACCTGGATGTTCACTGAGGTGCAAGGGCCATACTGTTGCTGCTTTAATTTAACTTGAGACTATTCAGTTGATTAATGAGTAATATAGGGCAGAGCATTTCTGATGCATGGCATATCAAGGGACTAGATGCATCTGCTGCATTAATTGTCTTCCTTTAAAAAAAATTCCATTTACAATTCCCACCCCAATGTTTAGAATAATTTGATATACATAGGATATATTGTTTAAAATAGTAACAATGGCATCTCATCCACTGGTTTAGGGTGTGCATGTGATCTACTATATGTGTCAGCCCTGGGCTGTGTGCCAGATAAGTGTCCGTCCTCAGCGGGAGCCTCTGGTTTATAGTACAAAGCAGCATGCAAGGATCAGCATTAAGACATCATCTGCTAGAAAGAGGATGTGCAACCTCCAATACCTTTGCTTTGCCAAAAGCGTTAAAAAGCAGAATAATAGGAAGATAAAAGATAGAGGCATATAAAGAAACTGCCATAATTGTGTAATGAATCAGTGGTTTACAGCAGGGAGATGAACTCACAGGGAATAGCGAATGAATACTAAGTCTTTCTAAATGAAACTTTGCAATACTTTTGACCCTCAAGTCCTGGTCAACACAGCAAGAGACTGATTCCACTTTCATTTTAGCATGTCTTCGTCAATATATATAGTGTGTGTGTGTGTGTTCCTGTCTAGCTATCTTTGTGAGGACCAAAATCTGCATTCTACTATACTTGTGAGAACCAACAGTCACTTGTGAGGACACACAACCCGGTCCTCACAAATTTGAAGGCATTTAAAGGCATTTTTGAGGCTCAAAATGTGGTTTTAGTGTCAGGGTTATAATTAGGTTATGGTTAGGTTTAAGGTAAGGGTTAGGGTTAGGCATTCATTTTTAATGGTTAGGGTTAGGGTAAGGGGCTAGGGAAAGCATTATGTCAATGAAGGTCCTCACTAAGATAGCTGAAGGAGGTTGTGTGTGTGTGTGTTGTCAGGAGGGAGCTGTTAAATATTTAACATTATCTTCAAAACTATGTCCACCTTTACACAGCAGAATGCCCAAAGAAACCCACATCACATCGAGGTCGTGAAGCATGCCTCTCATTAAACTAGCACTTAGTCCTTTTCCGCTGAAGACACCCCATGAGTCGTTATAATAACGCACTCCAATGTAATATAAACTGAACAGCTACCAGGAGACAGCGCGATACAGGGAAGTCAAAAAGGTCTGCGTTTATTCAGGCAATTCACCGAGCACTATGGCGCTTTATAGCATGCAGCACTTTGAGCTTCATCTGAACTTAGAAAACATGGGTCGGCTGGGAGAAGAGGAGTTGCTTAAAGCCTTAAACAAATTTATTTTCTTGGAAAATACTTACTACAAGCAGAAAAATTCAAACCCTTGCACTAGAAAAAACTTCATCTACTTCATTTATTTTAAATGTTTTGGGGGTTTTTTTTTCATTTGGGAAAGTTTAGATGATGAAAATAAAAAACATGATGTGATGCATTCTTTCATCCCTTAAAACTGCTTACAAGACAATCTAACTTTTTCTCAGTGGTCCGAAGCAGAAGCTTAGCGGTCTTGAATAGTTGCCAGAGAAAAGAAAACAGCCTTTTATATACTTACATTTAATAGCGGTGACAGCTCCACCACCACCATGGGCTCACTGGGTTGTGGTTCCGGTCGTATTGTCACGGTCAGGATTTTGGAGTTGATCACTGCAGGCGGACTGTAGAGACATTGGTTTTTTTATTGTTATCTTTTTTGTTTTTTAGACAAGTGTTGGTGTACATTTAAGATGGAGCTGAATGGGCTCTATGACTTTGGAGAAAGACCAAAAATAATACATACAAATACCAACAAATAACAAAAGCAAACTAGTAGGAGGTGAGGAAATCTAAAAGAGAGAAGAAAGAGAGCGCCTGACTAAAAACAGAATACTGCACCCATTAACATTCAGCATGGCTACAGAGTGAAAAGGGTTTTAACAGATCCAGCTAATCCACAACCAAGAGCAGTGACCTGAATAAAAGGGCCCGGGGCCAGCACAAACACCATATCACAATGGCCTTTTTCACAACCTCCTGATTTCTTCTAACTTTTATTACTGCATGTTCTATGCAAGTTTTGGGACCCATTAGGCCCACACCCAATCCAAGCTCAGTGTACACTTCCAAAAATATACTGACAACTCAAAGGAAGGGGGAAACATCTAGGGAAGTGTGCTTTTTGATAAGTGTGGTAAGCAGGTGCAAGGACACAAGAGAAGCAGCAGAGTTGTAAAAGGGAAGAAAAGACATATGGAGAACTGGAAGTTCGAAAGAAGGGAAGGAAAAAATTGAAAATGCACAGAAATAAAGAGAGACTGTTGTAAGAATGAAGAGACCACGAGAGAGATTAAAAAGTCAGACAAAGCGCAAGAAAAAAATGAGTTACAGAAAGGTAAAAGAAAGGACAGCGAAAAGATAAGAATGAAATGTGGTTTTAAATCCTCAATAACAATAAAGAATAATTAAGTACTCACGTCGCTGGAGGTAAAATGATGCCAAGTGTCCTGTACAAGATGGCTCCAATGACATAGTACATTGTAGATTCTGTTTCGGCTTCTTGCTCTGAAAGAAAAGAAAATCAGTACGTTTTAATACCTTCAAAATAAACTCCAAATCTTTCAGCCCATCGGCCGGTTTATTCCATATCCCCCTTGTTATCTTGTTCAAAGGCTCTTGTTGCTGAAAACTACAATGCAATGAAATTTTCACAACAACAAAAACAGCTTGAGGCAAATGGAAAATATTTCATATCTAACATTTTATTTCAACCCCCCCCAAAAAAAGTCAAACAACTCTAGACTAGAATCTGCTAAAACTCATCAATGGCTATACACTGATGCTAGGAGCACAATGAAAATGACATGACACTTGTGACAAGTTCAAGACGCAACTTTGGGCTGTGGTGCATAAATGCTCTGTATGATTTATTGCTGCCCTTGCTAATCAGTGTCAGAAATACAAGTAACAGTATGTACTGGCTCAAAGTTGTTAGGACACCACTGGCCACTCTCTCGCGATTTCTGAGAATAGAAGTTGTAGACTAGTGACAGGGAAAGTAAAGAGAGCAGTTCTAACCTGTAGAGCTAACCAGCATTTCTGCAGTACTTTGATGTAAAAACTAATTTTAAAAATGGCCGTATGTTGGCTTTGTTGGGATAAACTGAAATATAAATCAGTAACTGAAGTCATGTGTAACCATATTCTGCACTGGGGTATTGAGCCTACCAAGGAAGAAACCAATGCTACTGCTACTAGCACTGCTAAGGTTAGATAACTCTGCAAAATATAATAAAATAAAACCCTATGAATTTGCAATGTCATACAACGCACAGTGTTGCAAATTTCAGCAACATTTAAAACACGCTTGAATTAATCAAGAAGGTAATTAACAGTTTCACGTATCTCCTAAAATACAGATATAATATATGCTTGGCTAATATTTAACATTGCGCATTTAAAGTGTGCGCAGTTTGAAATGTTTTCTTTTACACTATGCTGCTGCAGGTTTGTTCTCTTGTTTAAATGCCCAGAAAATTAGTCGCTATGAACGCTCCTAATGTTTACCACTGTTTAAATATGCATGACCTATATGCATGCAGCTGTAAGAAACAAACATAACTTGATCTCCTGACATTTCATCAAAACCTGGATTGCATTCATTATTCATCTGTTTCATTCATAAACTCCTTCAGACAGGTCTGTGTTTGCCCTTCCACGTAACCGGTGAGTAGTAGTATGTATAATGTGATTGATTTAACAGTGCAGCACCTCTGGTACATTGATAATAGACAATAGAAGATAGTGGAGAAATGAAGGATGTGGACAGGATAGCTTAAACCTAATAACCCTCTTTTCTTTAAGGATAAGCCTGATGATTTTCCATAAAGTCTGTAGTTTTACTATTTAACATAAATTAAGTTTGAGCTAAGTTGCACTGGTCAACTAAATAATTAGATTTACCTGTCTCATCAACCATCAACATTTCAGCCTAATTTAAATGTACTCCTTAAATGACACTAACATGCTCTGGTGGCTACATCAAAATAAGAAACGTGAGAATATTGCAGCACCTTCCCAAAGTTTCTGGCAGCTACACATTCCATATCCAGAGTAATTATGCTTCTCAGCTGAAAACGTAAGTCAGGTGCAAGACGCTGGTTTCACACTTTGTGTGGGTGGAGACACTGTGTCACTTTGTTTCCTTTGAGCAGTTATAGTAGCTCAGCATTACTGTGTATCTAGAACTGCTGAAGTATCAAAACCTCATTCCTAAAAGCAAGCCTTTTACCAACATGCACGAAACATGAGTAAAGAAAAGTCAGTGTGTCAGACAACTTCAGACACTGTCCTTGTCCCTCTCGCTTCATGTTAGTTCCAAATCCCCTTTCTTCCTCTTCTCCTCCACCTCAGCACACACCCCTCTTATCCATCTCTGTTGTTGTTGCTATTCTCCCATGCACTTTTCAACTTTTTCACTCTTTTCAATAGTCCTCTTTTACACCCCCTTGCCTTCCATCGCTCTATTGAGTGTTCTTTTGCCAAAAAGAGCAGGAGCTCCCAAGGAGATGTAGTGTCCCTCTGTAAATGTCACTTTGTCTCAAGTGAGAGGAGGCAGAAGGAAGCAGAAGGGGGAAAGTATGAGGGAAAGAGTTCATGCTGAGAGATGCCACTCCCTCCTTTGCCCTTTTAGGCTGAGAGAAGCAACGGAGAGGCATCAGCAGAGAGAGTGTGGGGGGGGAGACAGAGAGGGCTGATGGTATCAGACACACTGGGTGACTCATCCAAAATCTGTCTGCCTGCTGCCTAAGAGGTAATACTTGGGAAGAGAGATAGCTATGCAAAGACAGACGAGAAGAGAAAGAGGAAGAGACAAAAAGATCTCAACTGTGGAAAAAAAACGCAATTGTGAGACTTGCGAGGAGGCAAAAAAAACAGATCAAAGTCAGCATGAGAAAGCCTGCAAGTTTGATGGATCCTAATTGGACAGTGTCTGCCAAGGCATGCAAATGAGAAAGTCAATGTATTATGGGTAAATGGTAAATCTATGTGAGGGGGTGGCACTCCTACGCTTGAGGATGATTAATACCACAAAAGCACTCAATCACAAAACTCTAATTTCCCATGAACAGACTTTTTGTCACTCTGCCCTTGCTAAACATCTAAATGATTGGTGGTCAGCTGTAATCCAGGAAAATGGCAAACCACCAGTCACCAGCTGTGAACTTTAATATGTCATTTATCAGGAGAATATATTCTTGCAGTTGATTCTAAGCCATAACTTAGCAATTTAATCGAAGACAGAAAGCTCCTTGTCAGTTGTTTTTTTCTTTCTTCCTTAATTTTCTGTACTTTTCTGTTTTGCACACCACAACAAGTGTGGTCTCCTGCTTAAATAAACATATTGATCAGGCTCAGGCTGCTTTGGTTCAGTGATGCCAATATTACCACTAACTGCCTTCTATTTAACTTCTAAGTTGCTCAATTGCTTTAAATTTTGGAAACTTCTAAACTGAGCCAACTTTTCAAGACACGTGTATATGAGATTGTGAATATCCAATGCAGCTGATGGTCTTTGCCTCAGCAGCTCACTACTAATAAGTCTGCATGAATTCCCATGGCACTGATTTGCACTGATCTGGTGTATTTCCAGCTTGTAATTATAGGTGGCATGTTTTCTGCCTACTGGAAACTGTGTATGGTTTAGGTAATAAGGACACTGCCTGGATAAAGTATTTCCAGAAAGAACCACACTGAACCTTTGTGGAAAAAGGCTTTTCGGGCAATTGTGCAATGCAGTGATGAGCTACCTTGGTTCAAAGTCCTAAAAATACCCACAGGAAGCAGCTGCCTAGAATGGTTACCACTCTAATTCTGGCAAACAGTTGGCCAAGGAAAATGAGCAGAGCTAGTGTTTATTATTGGTTGGCATCACAAATTATAGCACCTTTCATACCTTTTTACATCTTTTAACTACTTTTTCTTGCCAAGCCACTATAGGCCTATTCCTGTCAATTTTCAGCTGGAACACTGACATGTTCTCTGGATGCAAATTTTTACAAGTCTGCAAAATAATTTCCTGCAGATTGAACACTAGAATCATCTATTCAACTGTGTTCCCAAGTGTATAATTACTAATTCCCACTCCAAGTTTCTGTCAACTAAGGAAAAAGACCGCAAAAAGACCACCAGTTTCCTATGAGACCACCGTCTCTATGGACAGTCCTGACATCCCTGTCTCCATCTCTATCCGTTGTGTGTTTGTGATTTAGCCCCTTGTCTTTTTACTCTAATCTAGATGTTTAAAGTATGACTTGTGTTCATAATAATCCATGGGACCACTCGCTACAGCAATGAGTTCATTGAGCATGCCTGTAAATCCCTAATCCAGTTAGCGCAATGGCAGTTACAGGCAAGTATTTGCTTTAATTCAAACCACATACACCGATATAATTCGTGTGTGTGACCACTTGTTATTATATCTACAAAAGAGGTGGTGCGAGTACAGTTCGCAGTAAAGAGTAAAGATGCCTGCATTTATGAGAAATACAGGTATACTTTTTTAAATAAACTAAACATTTCCTAACATATCACAGTCTTTAAGAGAGTGTGGAAGTGTGTTTCTGAAGATGTCAACTCAGGTTAACAACTCAGGCGTCAGCCCCAATTGATGCTCAATGAATCACTGAATTTCCAGCTCCATCTCACACACTGAAAGGGAGAATCATGAGAAGCAAAACAGCAAAGGAGGTGGCTGTTGAGTTAAAAGTTAACAACTCATAACCATGAGCATGAACCACCAATGGTGTATTTGAAATATGAAGCCATTGCTGACTTGTATGTTTGGATCGATGTGTGTACATGGCTGCGAGACAGAGTGCGCTGCCTGTTCGTACGATGGCAAGAGAATAAGAGACAGTGGAGAGAGAGAGACAGAGAGTGGAAGTTTGTCACCTCGAAAATCAGTGAAGAACAGTCCCAGCCTCTGCCCACTGAAGCGATTCATGAACCTATCTATTGGCTCTGCGTGCGTGCGCTGGCGTGCGCACTTACAGACACAACGGTGCCAATAGGGCTTTATGAGCATGTTTAAGCTGTCCATCTGAGATAGGCTCTCATTACAGGGTAAATGAACCAAACAAACCGATAGCAATCAACTGAGGACCTCAACTCATGAACTGCCAATGGGAAGTGGCAGAGTTCCCACAGGGCAAAGAGTACTAATAATGTCCTAACTCATAAAGCTATATGCGGTTTGGATGAAACAATTTACCAAATAGTGTATGCTAAAATGCCAATTGCATGTCCTGAATATCACAGCGTAACTGTAATGCAGCTGGTCACTTTTATGGCACAATAAGCCCTGCAAGAGACAAAACATTCAACACGACAAACAATAAGGATAATGGACAAGAAAGAAGAACAGGATTGGAGGAAAAAGGGCATAAAGTAAGGAAAGTAAGTTCTAAAAACACAACACGGAGAGCAAGCAAGGCGAAAACTTTGAAAAGCAAAGGCGTTAAACCGATCCAGCTTAAAACCTGCTGTTCAACCGTTGAGATATCTGAATTCACTGTTCCATAAAAATGCGCTTAATAATAGGCTTGTAGAAGGCTGGATGCTAGGTGGTTTAGAATTAGCACAATAAAGCATCAGAGGTGACGTGCCCTGAGGTTAGTATACAGGATATCTTGAGCGCCAATCAAAGGGAGTTTGTGCCATCAGTGCAAGTCAGAGGTCAGAGGAAGCTCTGCTCTCTTGGCCTGCAGTCTCTCTGAACTTTAATTTAGGTAGGGGACGGGGATGCCTGACTGAAAGTCTGCCAGTGTAATTTCCTGTGGGAAGCGACCTTTGCCTTTGTTCGTAGAGGATAGCATCTGCCTCTGTATTTCTCATTTCTACTTCAAACCATTACTATTTAACATCATTTTTCTTTCTCCTTTACAAATTTAGCTTCCATCCCATTCTGGGATCATCTATGTAGTTTCTCCTCCTTTTTTAACTCTCGCCATTTGTGTTTGCTTGAAACTGCACGAAAAAAAAATGTAGCCTCGACTAAACGCAGTCAACATTCTTGTGCTGCTCAAAGTGAATGGATTTTGAAAATTGTATGAGACTCAATGCTCTCAGGGGGAAGCAACACACTTCTTCACAGATGAAAGACTGGCATCTTCTTGAGAAGCCCTCTAGGGCCTCTTTACAGTCCAAATCCTTCTCAGCACTACCCTTTAACGCCCCTGAGAAACCTTCTGCTTCAGTGAGAAACATCTCTGAGTATGAGAATTCACACGGGGGAACCTCTACTTGCCAAGCTGATCTGACCTTAGATTATGAAACCATGAGTTGGTTCTTTTCATATATCAAAGATTTAAGAGAGTGAGCAAGAATTACAACTACAACGTATGTACTTTATAGTTAAGAATAGACTATGAAAGCCTTCCTAACCTTGTGTTTCCCATCTTTTTTATAGAAAAAAGCCAAACAAAGAAATACATATGATCTTGTGTTTATGAGCTGAAACTGGCAACCTAAAAGATTAGATCAACCCTGGTCAGTAGACAAACCACATTTCCTTTTTTTCTTACCTTCAGGTGGGATGGTGAAAACCTCTTTCGGGATGTAGAGCTTATCTTCCGCTGTTCGGGCCCAGTCCTTCATGCCCCTTCGGCCCTTCATGGGGAAGTTGATATCGCTGGAAACTGCTGACACTGGTTCTCTCTGAATGGTTACCACTGGACAAACGACAAATGAAAACAAAACCCACATGAAAACTCACTTAGGCATGACACTGGAAAAATAAACAAAGAGTGCTGGTTAAAAGACAAAAATCTGACAAAAACAATAAAGAAAACTTCACAAAAAAATACACTGTTAAAAATCGACGTGCTGGTCATGTGTTTACAGATTGAAAGCAATACTTGGATACAAAAAAATCTAAATCATCGATCATGCATAGTACAAATAAAACCCTCCCAACTGAATTCTAACTATGATGAAATACATTACTGTGCAGATGTCTTGAGCCATTTTGCTTCTACAGAGCAAGAATTTCTTGAAATACTCATTTTCAGCTCGGTCCTTTTACCTGAGCATATATAGAGGAACACTTATTTTTTGTCTGTTAAACCACTTAACACTGACCATCATTCAAAAATAAAAAGAGTATCTAACTCAAGAAATGAACCAGAGTTGTGTCTACACATAAAAGAGAACCCATTTTAAATTCTTTAGGCACTTTGCTACCAGCAGCTCATCATTTGTTCCAATTTCTGTAGCCAAATCTATGAAAAATGGCAGCAATAATACAGTTTGACTTTAATAAAATAGCACTTTTACAACCAGCAAGGTGATTCCCAAAAAACCTATCTACCAAATGCTTGCCATTTCTCAGGATGAAGTGCCAAGTGTCCTAACTGGGTAAGTGGACTACAAAAGAAGAACCGACTGGCCTAAAAATACTGGCAGCCACCAATGCTACCCCTCAGCTTCCCAGTAGATGCTCCTCTAGTATAAATCTAAAAAACTATAAAAGCAATTTCACAAAATATATATAAATATCTTTGAAAGTTGATGTGCTGGTCATATGTAGTTAAATTCTGAATTATTGGAATTTTTAGAAACAACAATCATAGGTGATTGCCAGAAAAGTTCACGTCTGAAATTCACCTTGAGGTCACTGGGATCCAAACTCATCTGAGAATTTTAGTAGATGCACCTATGGTATGAATGTCAAAATCAGGGGTAAAAACTATCTACAGAAAAAATTACCAGTATCTGAAAGTCATGTCCTTCAAAAATAAGAAAAAAAAATCCAGCAAAGACCTGACACAGGACCTGAGAGATACATCTGGACCTCTGCTTGATTCATCAACTATATATGTTAAGCCGCTCAAGACTTTTGTGCAGTACTGTAAGTCGTCCGGATGTTTGTGTACAAAAAATCTTTCATCTGCTCCTGTGAAGCCGTGTGATCTGACAGCAATGAGTGGGCCTTACTGAGGTTGTTGGTAACCACTAGAAAACTCTGAAAAGGCTTCTGGGCCTCTCCAATGAGGTGAATGAAATCTTCCAATATCCTCATCAGCAAAGCAGCACCGGGAGCGATCTGTGGACAGCACGATGATAGAAAGATGAACGGAAGGATGTCATAAGTGCAATTATAACCCACAGCCAACCATCTTCTATGAGACACGTCTCAACCACTGATACCTTTTTACTCACTGCATTACCTCAACTACCGAATGTGTTCCTGGGCTGTAAATCCTAATCACATGGTTTATAATATTATATTTGGCTTTTTTTCTTAAAATTATTATATCCAGATGGCAAGCAAACACAATTTGCTGCAGGGGTACCACATTGGGTCCCATACAAAGCTTGCACAAAGACGCACAGGATATTGTGCATTTTTAAAACTCAAAGAAACATTAATAATAGGTAGAATCAAACCCATTTTCCATCACCACACATAAACATTTACAAAAAGATCTATTTATGACACTTGGTGATGCAGACAGTCAGTTGTGATGATAAGGAGGTGCACAGAAGCGCACACGAGGACATAAAGTACCAGACATTCACATAAATGCAGAGCCTTACCTGGTGAGCGTCCTCCCATTTTTCTAAATTTTCAATGTCCAACATGTGGCTGACAATCTGGAAGAATTTCTAGATAAAAAGAAATAAAAAAGGATGTGCTCAGTTGTTGAAGCCAGACCATCAGGCAGTTATTTCCTGGATATCAAATAACTACTGATAACCTTGCTGTGGTTAGCACTGCAGCAATACTGCCTCTTATTCTCAGTCATGTCTGGTTCATTCATTTGCTGTACACAGGCATATTGTAAGTCATAAATAATAACGTCTGTGAAATGATCGACTGAGACGGGAACATTTTGCTCGCTTACAGGCACTGGAAAAAGAAAAATGCTGCTAAAAAAAAAATCCGCCCTGTGAGGCCATAGCAACTGTGCAGCTGTAGTTAATTGTTATGCACACCCTGTGCAGTAGAAAGTGAAGCTGCGGATGGAATAAATTTTGTTGTAAGTGACTGTGTGTGTGTGTTTGTGTGAGATTTATTTATTTATTTATGTATTTATGTCATGGTTGGTGACTTTAGAAGGCTCCGGGCGAATGCCGAGACGTTTTTCCTACCTGCACGTCGTCGGGAGCTGGGATGTAGGTTGCTCTTTTGAAGGTGTCCGTCACATTTCGCAGGATCTCCGTGGAAAAGAGAAGGTCGCCACTGTAGTAGCTCCTTCTCTGCAAGAGCTCCAGGAGACTCCGTACGATCTGAGACATGCCCTCCCCAGCCAGGGTCCTCTGACCCTTCGCGAGATGCTCTCGTAACTAAAATGCATTAAAAAAAGGAGATTTTTAGAAGTGTTTTATCCTGTCTCGTGATTACAGGTAAACCCTTTGCTGTTGCACATGGTGTTACTCAAACTACGTAGCAGAAAAACAGAAATAGCACACCCGAGATTGTGTTTTTGACAAAGAAATCACAGGAATGTTTTGGATATGAGCCGACGGGGATATTTCAAGACGGGAGTATATATGTACATGGTTGGATTTTTGTCTTTTTTTGTGTATGTGTGTGTGTGTGTGTGTTTGCTTGTGCTTAAAATAGGCAAGCAAATCGAAGCCTTGCAGCACTTTCAGACAGAAACTGGATCTCATCACTTCAGAGAAAGAGATACAAAAAGATAGTCTGTGCGTGTGAGGCAAAGTGAAAGAGAGTGAGGGAGGAAGAGAAAGAAGCTGGGGGAACAGAACATCACAGCAATCACAGAAAATTAATTACTGACTCCTGGTATTAATGAAAGGTTGGAACAGAAGCTAACAGTGCAATCAGCTCTGTCATGCACGATCCCTGACCCCCATCTCCTTCCGCCATCATCGAGGAGATGGAAAAGGTTGAAGTTCACGGAGCAGGAAAACAGTTTCGCTGATGAACACATTCATTAGCTCTCTTCATTAATTGATAAGTGTGAGCACAAAGCTCTGGAAAAGCTAATTAGAGATAGCAGCGAGTCTTGGGTAAAAACACTCTGCAATTTTGAGAAAACTTTTTTTTAGGGTAGTTGAAGAGAGGTACATTAGAGATAAAAACAAAAACAAAAGAGAAGAACAGATAGAGAAGAACTTGAAAAACATGTTTCACTAAGCAGATGAAGCAACTCGAGTGCATCTGGAAAGTATTCACAGCGCTTCACTTGTTCCACATTTTGTCATATTACAGCATTATTGCATTAAATTCATTTTGTCCCTTAAAATTCTACACACAATACCCCATAATGCCAAAGTGAAAAAAGGTTTGCTTGAAACTCTTGCAAATTTATTAGAAATAACAAACTAAAATATAACATAAGTATTCGTACCCTTTTACCAATACTTAATAATTACAGCTTTAAGTCTTTTAGAGTATGGTGCTACAAGCCTGGCACACCATTCATTGCAGAACCTCTCAAGTTCCATCAGGTTGGATGGGGAGCATCGGCACACATCTTCAGAGATGTTCAGTTGGGTTCAAGTCCAGGCTTTGGCTGTTATCTTAGCTGTGTGCTGTCCTGTTGGAAGATGAACCTTCGCTCAAGTCTGAGGTCCAGAGTGCTGTTGAACGTCTCTGTAGATTGCTTTCCCTCTACCCTCCTGAGCTACAGCCACCTCCATGGGTGGCTGTAGCTCAGGCGGTAGAGCAGTCATCTACTGATCAGTCATCTACTGCTGTTGGTGGTTCGATTCCTGGCTTCCCCTAGTCTGCATGCCAAATATCCTTGGACAAGATACTAACCCCAAATTGCTCTCCCATGCATCCATCGGAGTATGAATGTGGGTGAATGTCAGTTAAAAAGCACCTAGGAAAAATGTGCTTGTGCGAATGGGTGTGAATGGGTGAATGCACAAAGTTGTATAAAGCGCTTTGAGTGCTCAGAAGAGAAGAAAAGCACTATATAAGAACCAGTCCATTTACCCTTTCTGTTCCTGGTGCTGAAAAACATCCCCACAGCATGCCACCACCACCATGCTTCACTGTAGGGATGTTATTGACGTGGTGATGAGCAGTGCCTGGTTTTCTCCAGATGTGACGCTTTCAATCTTTGTTTATCAGACCAGAGCATGCACTGACATGCACTGTCAACTATGGGACGTTATACAGACACGTGTGGGCCTTTTCAAATCATGTCCATCCATCCATTCGCTTCCGCTCATCCTTTTCAGGGTTGTGGGGGGCGCTGGAGCCTATCCCAGCTGTCATAGGGCGAGAGGCGGGGTACACCCTGGACAGGTCGCCAGTCTGTCGCAGGGCCAAATCATGTCCAATCAACTGAATTTACCACAGATGGACTCCAGTCAAGTTGCAGAAACATTTAACAGATGATCAGTGGAAACAGGATACTCAGTTTTGAGTGTAAGAAAAAGTCTGTGAATACTTCTGAACTTTTGCTACTTTTGTTTTAGTGAATTTCCAAAAAAATTCAAGCAGAATTTTTTCACTTTGTCATTATGGGGAATTGTGCAGAATTTTGAAGTGAAAAAATGAATGTAATCCAGTCTGGAATAAGGCTGTAACATGACAAAGTGCTTTGAATACTTTCCGGATGCACTGTAACTGGCTTAAATTGGTACATCTTTTTAGCTTTTTTTTCTCTTGTCCATCATAATTATTTTTTTATCAATTGTTTGTTTTATTGTACTCATTTGACATTACTTACAGATAAATGTAAATATCTATATTCAAGTGAGACGCATCTGGCGAAGCTCGGAGGACCCCAGAAAGCAACTCCATTATTGTCCAGCATACAACGACGACTAGCAGATCCTAGAAAGAGGTGAGAGAGATGCACGTAGTTAATACAGAATGCAACAAACACCAAACATTATCTACACCACACTCTGAATATGGTATGCTTTTTCAAACTTCCAAAAACCAATATGGCCACAAAACACATAAATATGTTATTTGTATTCTGACGCCGAGAAGTAGGCCAATTCATCACACGGACAGGAGTAATACAGAGGGCGTCTGCTCAATGTATTTTAATAGCTATACGGAAATATCAGAATGCATAATTTTGCTACTAATGAAAAAGCTAAAACCCAAGGTCACATCTATTCATGTGCTGGAGTGAAATATTATGCAGGATTGTAAAAACTACAAAATATTTTGTTTGTAGCAGTATTTGGCAATTTACACCTTCTGGTGATTTTAGGCTGGCAGGCACAAGGCAAACTAGTGAAAGCTGCCAAAGTACCTTTTGAAAAATAAATATAAACAAGTTCTTTACGCCCTCTTTTTTTGTCATTGCCATGGTAACTGAGATAAGTTAAAGAATGTTAATTTGATCTTAAATAAGACTATTATATTTAATTAAGGCTCGTTCAGACATGTTTTGCCGTCCCTAAAAAGATGTGGAAAAATGTCTTTATGCAGCAGACCTCTCGAACCACACCTGCACTCGACTTGCACGTGTCAAAGTTTATACTCCTCTTTGGCAACAATCGGGCAACTCTCAGTTTAGACTGAAATAACAGTGATATGGTTTGACTGCATTCAAATGAGACATGAGTGCTGTATAAATTAAAGGAACTTGCTGGATAACGTATGTGTTAAAAATGTTACGACTGCCTCTTTCTATCAAAACTCAAAAGAGCAATGGCATTTATTATTGCTGAGGCATAAGTACACCCATTAGAGCAAATTTATTTCAAACATAGGGATGCAAGCAGAGCAATTTATTCTGATTAGCCTATAATCTTGTCTATTTTACCATCTTTTTCATATGATTGTCATTCTGTTGCAGTGAATTTGCCAGATACTTGACACCTGACAGTCAACTGTTCCTTTGTCTGCACTAAAGGCCTGTTGAAGTTAAAAGCTCACTGGTTTGCAACTGAATAACTAACCAAACAAATCACAAGAGCACAACTTGTTCCTCTCTTGGGCTTTTGTTGGACATATTCAGCTACATACACATTGTTACGTTCATGTCATCTAATGTTAATAATCTTCCAAACTACTATGCTGTCTATCAGCTGGAGTTTATGGGATCGGCGTCAACTGCAGTGGATTTTTAGGAATATAGCCAACTTTAATTTATTCATGTGAACTAGTCCTTTAAATAGTCCAGCTGTCCCACTTAGTATTTAATAATGAAAAAAGATCCAACTTTTTAGTTATACTATAGTACATATTACTCCTTTCAAATGTCCTCTTTTCTCTTATATTGAATAAGGAAGGCAGTGGCTTGTAAAAGTATTCGGCCCCCTTGAACTTTTCCACATTTTGTCACATTACAGCCACAAACATGAATCAATTTTATTGGAATTCCACGTGAAAGACCAACACAAAGTGGTGTACACGTGAGAAGTGGAACGAAAATCATACATGATTCCAAACATTTTTTACAAATAAATAACTGCAAAGTGGGGTGTGCGTAATTATTCAGCCCCCTGAGTCAATACTTTGTAGAACCACCTTTTGCTGCAATTACAGCTGCCAGTCTTTTAGGGTCTGTCTCTACCAGCTTTGCACATCTAGAGACTGAAATCTTTGCCCATTCTTCTTTGCAAAACAGCTCCAGCTCAGTCAGATTAGATGGACAGCGTTTGTGAACAGCAGTTTTCAGATCTTGCCACAGATTCTCGATTGGATTTAGATCTGGACTTTGACTGGGCCATTCTAACACATGGATATGTTTTGTTTTAAACCATTCCATTGTTGCCCTGGCTTTATGTTTAGGGTCGTTGTCCTGCTGGAAGGTGAACCTCCGCCCCAGTCTCAAGTCTTTTGCAGACTCCAAGAGGTTTTCTTCCAAGATTGCCCTGTATTTGGCTCCATCCATCTTCCCATCAACTCTGACCAGCTTCCCTGTCCCTGCTGAAGAGAAGCACCCCCAGAGCATGATGCTGCCACCACCATATTTGACAGTGGGGATGGTGTGTTCAGAGTGATGTGCAGTGTTAGTTTTCCGCCACACATAGCGTTTTGCATTTTGGCCAAAAAGTTCCATTTTGGTCTCATCTGACCAGAGCACCTTCTTCCACATGTTTGCTGTGTCCCCCACATGGCTTGTGGCAAACTGCAAACGGGACTTCTTATGGTTTTCTGTTAACAATGGCTTTCTTCTTGCCACTCTTCCATAAAGGCCAACTTTGTGCAGTGCACGACTAATAGTTGTCCTATGGACAGATTCCCCCACCTGAGCTGTAGATCTCTGCAGCTCGTCCAGAGTCACCATGGGCCTCTTGGCTGCATTTCTGATCAGCGCTCTCCTTGTTCGGCCTGTGAGTTTAGGTGGACGGCCTTGTCTTGGTAGGTTTACAGTTGTGCCATACTCCTTCCATTTCTGAATGATCGCTTGAACAGTGCTCCGTGGGACGTTCAAGGCTTGGGAAATCTTTTTTTGGCCTAAGCTGCTTTAAATTTCTCAATAACTTTATCCCTGACCTGTCTGTGTGTTCTTTGGACTTCATGGTGTTGTTGCTCCCAATATTCTCTTAGACAACCTCTGAGGCCGTCACAGAGCAGCTGTATTTGTACTGACATTAGATTACACACAGGTGCACTCTATTTAGTCATTAGCACTCATCAGGCAATGTCTATGGGCAACTGACTGCACTCAGACCAAAGGGGGCTGAATAATTACGCACACCCCACTTTGCAGTTATTTATTTGTAAAAAATGTTTGGAATCATGTATGATTTTCGTTCCACTTCTCACGTGTACACCACTTTGTGTTGGTCTTTCACGTGGAATTCCAATAAAATTGATTCATGTTTGTGGCTGTAATGTGACAAAATGTGGAAAAGTTCAAGGGGGCCGAATACTTTTGCAAGCCACTGTAAAATAACTCAGCTTTAAGTCTGCCTTAACCATGTTAAAGTCTGTATTTAAATAATTTCCTCAAGGATTAATATAATATTCTGATTCACATGATTCACAGACACTTGTATGCATGAAGTGATTTATGATGTTTCATTAGTGTACATATATACGGCTTGTACTTTATGTATTTAGTGCTCTGTTGATGGATAAGATTGGTACACTGTTTCAAGTGCTTTGACATGTCAGCGTGGCTAGAAAAACATCGAATGAACATGCGTACAAAACATCACATCACACTATAGAAACTTCTGAGATGGTACAATCTTCGGTCTTTTGTCCAGCTGGTTCATACCTCTGTTTAGAATCACTCCAAGTACAAACCACTTTAGGTCTGCCTCATTTCATTAGGTTTTGCATTGTTTAATGCTGCTTTAAGCCTACACTGACCTCAATTTAACTGAAGAGCACCTCTTTCAAAGAACTGCAAAGTTTGCAGATATTTTTTCTAGAACATGAATTCTGACAAATCGTTTAACCTAGAGAGAGCTGAACCCTAGAGTTTCATCAGCAGTGAGCTGGTACAAAGATCCTTTCTTTCTGCTCATCTAGCTGTGGCTCAACCAGCTGGGCAACACGTCACAGCTTGACCAGCAACAACCGCTAAATCTGTGTGTGCTCATTTGTGCAGTAACTCTGAAGAACCAGAAGAAAGCTTGCTTCTGTAACACCTGCAAAGCTGTGACACATCTCCAGAGCAGCTTGATGAAAAATCTGGAACATCAATATAAGCAAAGAAGCAGCTGATCAGAAAAGAAAAACGAGGAACACAGGAGATTCATCACTCGTCATCGACATTCTCCTTATCAAAAACATGACAGATAACGCAGGACAATTCACTTCCTCCCAGTGTTGATGGAGGATTGGTTTCCCCCTGAGCACGTCAAGGAGTAGATGTTTGAGCTGTATGAATCCTGGACTAGAAAGACGTCAGATGTCTTCCAGAAAGCTTTACCAATAATGAGAGGACCAGATCCAGGATTATTAGCGGTGTATCTCAGAGCCTCATCCATCCATTTGGGATGTTGAATGTTCTTTATTTCTGACTTATAGGAGAAAAACGTAAATGCTGCTCTGACCCCTGAAAAGAGTCTGGATATCTGGTATGACATTGGAGATCAGAGACTTGTCTCCAATAAAGAAGACCTCAAAGCTGAAATTCAAAGCCTTAAACTGACTCAGTATTAGCCTCTCCATCCTGTGAAGCCAGATCTGATCGCAGGCAGAACTCAGGCTGACATCTGGTTGAGGAGAACTGTCCTGATGACGTTCAAGGCGCTTTGGTTGACTGTAGCCACAATTATTTTGTAAATGAGCCCTTTTTTATTAGTCTAATAATGGTTTTGTGACAACTCATCTGTATTTATTTGTAAAAAGATCAAATATGACTTACCAATCCCCTTACTTTGCATCATCATGCACACAACTGCCTCACAAACAGGTCTGTGTAAACCTGGTCAATCAAGAGAATGAGCTATTTTGACTTATAGACCTGTGACGATGGTGAATTTGGAACAAACCAGATGTTAAGACTAAAAATACACGTTGTTTTTTTTCTTGTTTTTTTTTTTAAATCACAAAAAGCTGACTTTGAAGTTTCTCCTTATTTTTCCATGACATTTCTCCAGGCAGTGAGCAACCTTGAGAAAGAAGGTACAAGTATATGTCTCATAGCACATGCATAGAGAGTTGCAGGCCCTGTGTTACAGTATAAGCTTTAGCAGATATTGCTTTGACTGTAGCTCTGCCTTTCCTAATCAGGAAGTGCTACTGTATGTACATGAGGCTCACAAACTTCCAAAGTTAATCATCACAGAGATTTTTTTTCCATTAAGTAGCCAGTCTCTGTTCTTCTGCTGCAACTTTACCATTGCTAAAAACAACATGCCCACATGTTCGTGATGCTAACAAACCTCTGTTGCTCCTACTGGAGATTTCTTTAAGCTTCTCACTTGGACATTTTTGTAATAGTTCTGGTACTTGAGTTGTGTAAAGACACTTGTGATTGCAATATGCTTTTTTTTCCCTTGTCACAATGCTGCTTGGCAGCCTGTTGCACAGCTCCCAAATCTTAACCAGCTCGTATTACTGCCTGGACTGAGCCATGTAATCCTGGTGAAGCTACAGAGGAAATGACAGTGGTTTCATTGGTGATTGGGCAATAATGAGGACAACCGAGGCGATCTGATTTGAGCCCTTGACGTGCCACACTCAAACTTCCCACACCACAGCGTGACCGTACCTCACTTCAGGACTTTTTAGGTGGACAGGAATGTTATTCTGAGCTGAGATGAAACGTGGGGGCATTGCTCCAGTTATGATTGAAATGTGGTGTAATCCCACACATGTTGGTGCAAGGAGGTGTTTCTGAATTGCTTTTTCTTGGATTATATCCACATTGTCACTGTTCTGTTTTAATCTGGTTTAAAGCAACACATTGTCTGGATTCCTCCATCACCTGATGAAGAGGTGCTCTGCTGCCACAAGGATAGACACGTGAAATCTTTATCACCTCATCTCTATGCAACATTTATCTTAACCTGTTTGTTTTATAATATTTGGATTTCAGTTTACTGAATAACTTTTTTCACTGTTTTGGTTGCTGTGACATAATTTCACAAAATTTCTTCTTCTTTGAGCTGAGTGCATTATTAGCTAAAAGCATGCAATGTGACTGACCAGTAGCATTCGTTGGACATTTGTTGTAGACAGTTTCTCCAGCTGAGGCTCTCTTCCATGACATCGAGAGGAGATGCTCGTCTTTGCATATCTCATGAGGCGCTATAGAAGAAGGTGAGAAACACATAGAAAAAAAAGCGAAATGAAGTCAAGCCTAGTAGGAGAACAGAAAAAAAAAACAACCACGCGCACAAACACGCACTCGCACGCACACACACGCCGAACCAGAAGAAATAAAAAAAAAGGGAGACAGACAGAAGCAAAGCACACAAAAAAAACACGATTCAAATCAATGTTCTCCTGCAGCAGCTCCCAATCTTATTCCCTTGTACATTCTCAGAGCTCTCTGTCGGTGTCATTGCCTCAGTACAGTATCTCATTCCCTCTTCATCTTACCCCCTCTTTTTATTCATCTGTTTTCCACCCCTCCCTCTCTTTCATAACCATGATGAAAAAACAAGCAGGGGGAGGGGGAGCTGGGTGCTCTGAAGATATTCCGAGGGGGCACACTAGGGTTGGCAGAGGCAGATGCAGAGAGATGAAGAGGGACGGAGAGCGAAGAGCGAAGAAGGAGAAAATGTGTGATGTTCCCCCTGCAATGCCAACAGACAAGATCCTCGTCTAGTGTAAAAAAAGCTTTAGAGCTACTAAAAACAAAGAGGTCATGATGGAGGCTCCACTCAAAAGTTTATCATTTGCAACTCGTCAAGTCTCAGTGCTAACACAAGTGACACGCACTGAAAATATACTTGCATACATATATGTGTGTATATATATATATATATGTATATATACCAAAACACACGCACAGCTTCAGTCAGGAGTCGTACTTATTAAAAACCACAGTGTTTCCTGCAATGGCTGACACTGACAAATAGCACCAAGCGGACCATTGAACATCCAGCCCTCCACCGGGGAGAGAAACATAGAAGGAAATAAAGCAAGTGAGAGACAAAGAGTAAGGGAGATTAGTGCTTTGAAAAAAATGTTAAACAGGAGAGATATAAGGAGAAAGCAAATAACTCACAGATAAACAGAGAGGATAAAAAGAAGGCAATACAAGGGAAAAATGCAAAATCAATGAAGAGGTGAAGACGGACGGGTATGTGAACTGACATGAAGACAGGCAAAGGACAGAAAAGGATGTGAAGAGCTCTAAAAGTGCGAAGGTAGCTTTTGGGTATGCTGTTAATCTCTTGGAATTGCTTCCATTCTGCTCGATAGGTAGTGTGCAAGTGCAATTTTGGCACACACACGCACTCTTTTAAACTTCAAAAATACCACGAAATCATCGTAAAAACAAAGGAAAAATGTGAAATACAAAAACTAGGGCATGAAAAGGTTATACAGATTATACTGAAGCCCTCTGTCTGTAACGCACACTCAAGCTACTGACCAGGGCACTTTTTCTCATTACACGACCGGACCTCCTCTCCTAAGCCATCACACGGGTAGCCTTGCAATCCAGTGCCCTCGCACATCCTGATGCGCCGCTGCCATCCAGAGTCACACGTCTTGCTGCAGAGACTCCAGTGGTTCCAGCTGCCCCAGTTACCTCCACCTAGCGCAAGAGGAAGAGCACCACCAGTGAAGATGGAAGTACCGGAATGCATTGCAAAAGAAAAAAAAAAGAAAAAGAAATGACAGTTATGAATGAAGTAGTAAATTTAACTTACAAGTCTAAAGCTTTTTTATTAGTGTGAGAAATTAAGTCAATACAAGCCTATTCTCGGGCCCAGGCTCATTAAACACCCTAGTATTTTTGTTCTCTGGGGCCCCTGTCGAAACAGACTCATAAGCCAAATTAGGTCCCAACCCAATAATTACTCATGTGTGGAATATGAATCAGAAAAACAACCATGTGGATGCCTTTAGATAATGCATGTTCTGTGTTTGCATAATGCCATCTGAGAGCATGTGACTGTGAATACTAATTTGTGTTACCGGAGCACGAAGGGTTGGTGCATTCTCTGCTCTCCTGATGGGGGCCTTTGCATTCAGCCCAGCCGTGCACCGATGGGCTACAGCGCCTCTGCCTCTGCTCGGTCCCTGTGTCACAAGTCACGCTGCATTTCGACCAAGGCCCCCAGTCTGACCACTGGCCCTCCACTGGAGCGGGAGACAGATCCGAGAAGATAAAGAGACACGGGAGCATGCATGAGGGTGAAGGGATGAAGATTTTTAAAGAGGAATCAGAAATGAAAAAAAAAAAAAAGAGATGGAAAAAAAGACAATGATTGTCAGTGGAAAGGAAGGTACAGAGGAAGAGAGGGAGGAAAAAGACAAGGCAGATAAAGTGAGCACGCTGAATAGAATATACAATGAGTTAGGATGAACAGCAAATAAATTACAGAAGCTATTTGGCTTCCCATAAATAGCAACAAACAAACACAGTGCACCTCCCATTTTAATGGAGATTTTAAATATTTCAATCTGTTACAAAAAAAACAAAAAAAAAGCTGAATGCAATTTCTTCCACTCTTTGTTTTAAAAGAGTTCACACAAAGTGCATTTGGTTGGATTTTCACCCACAGTATTATTAAAAAGAGAATCCTATTGACTGGTGTTTGTGCGGAAACAGATAGAAATAATAATAATTCAAACACAATGAAGTACTGCCTGTCGGACAGCTTAACCGAAGCCTGACGACACGCATCGATATAATCAAAGCCCCTGCTGTCCATTCTAATGGGTGCTAGAAAAGGAAGTGTTGCTTGGGAGTAATTGAGTTGTCAGATGAAATATTCAAATACAATAAAATGACATTAACCAAACCCCAAACAAGCAGATAAGATTTTTTTGGCACGTCATCGTCTTCAAAGAGAGCCATAGATTCAACTTTGAAGATCTGTGTTGCAGAAAAAAAATAAAAATAAAACACTTTTTTGATTAGAAATCTTTGTAATAAAACGAAAAAGAACTGACAGAGGACCCAATTACTAGCCTGTAGCCATGTTCCTTTATGTTTCTGAACGCAGAGACACTTGTCAAAGCGCTACAATTTCAGAAACTTCAATCACAAAAGCAACTGCCAAAATCTTCTCTGACAATGTGCTAGTTTTTAGCTGTTTAACAAAAGGTTGTGTTCAACTGTATTATTACTGCAGTTAAATTGTCCTAAACAGATAATATCTGGGCATTTGTTTTACCTGCAGCAGCAGCAGCAGCAGCATGAAAGAGCCAATTTAACTAGGTTTTTATTGTTACACTGTCACATTAATTCTGTTTGGTTTACGCCGCATTTAATTGCACGGAATAGTCAATTGCTATTTTCTAAACAAATGCTTTACCACTTCTTTCACGCAAGCACACACAATCCTGAAAAATAATAATTGAAATGGAGTAATAAATCAATGCCTCCTTTTGTTGGCGTCAGTGTCACTTATGTAAAACAATAATGTGTTGCCTCCAGCTGGAATTATTGAAGGACCTGAGCTGTGCTTTTGCACAAATTTGAATTCTTAATGATGTGTAATGATTTAACTGCTGCCTGCTAAAACTGTCACATTAATTGGTTTTTGAGACAATTTTGGACACTAAAATAAACCGTTAAGGTTAAACTGACATTATCAGCTAAGAAATTAGATAAGGAGTGCGCACTATCAAACAAGGCGGTATTTACACATCCAGGAGACAGACAGTCGCATTAGCATTCATACTCAGGTGGCGTTTCTGGCCACATAACTAAATCTAATATTTTCTTTTAGCTCTGTTTCACTCCCTACAGATTACATAAGGATACAGAATAAAACACGGTCCCAAGGAACCACATTTAGCCTTGGGAAAGTACACTGCATAGCTTTTTCAGAGCTCTTCTGACTAAACTGCACTCTAGTACCAATGCTTATTAGTATGTAGAAAATGATCTAAACAGAAAATGAAAAAGTAGCTTTAAAATATATCATATTTAATGACAGATTTAGTCAGCTCTAGTAAAACATTATACGTTATAGTTCAAGAGTTTGTTTGGTGAGCATTAGTTAACAGGGGCCGATAAACGATTCAAGAATAAGAAGGCTCCGAACTCAAGACGGTTAAACCAGTTTTTGTTTAAGAGAAAACTTAACAAAGACCTTTTTTTAAATTCTATCTTTAGTCACTTTTTTACTAGTAGTGTGTCACAGTAGCATAAAATCGATAAAAAATGCCAAAGATAACATTTTTGCACCAGCAGGGCGATTCAGTCATTATATGAAAACATACACATCTCGGTATGGTGTAAGGAGCTTGGAAAGAAATGGAACACTTGGAACACCTTACGCTCTGCTTCAGCGTAAACTCCACTTTTTATAATTATTTGAACATTACAAGCTCCTGAGACTATGATGACCTGGATAATTGAGAACCTTAACAGACATATCTCGGTATGGTGCGCAGCGTGTCCTTAAAAAAAATTAGGAAACTAAACAAGTGGAGGATGAAATAAGAAGTGTCAAGAAGCTTTCAATGAGATACACTGAATTTCAGCAGAACTGGACTAAAAATCAGTGGTCTTATAGAATGAAGTTCCGTTTAGTTCATTGTCAATAAACTTAGGACGAGGGGAGAAATGGGAGCACTGATTATCTATAACCATGTTTAAAACACAGTGGCAACTCTGTCATGGGTTTTGGCTGCATTACAGTCAGTAATGTTGGGGGTCTTGTAAAAACAAAAAGCTGATGGAATTAGGAAAGCAGAAAAGTATGGTCAGATTTTGAACCACCATCGACTATTCCTGGATGCTACCTAAAGAAATTACAAGAACGCTTGGCTAACAGAGTTCAGACTCTACTGAATAATAAAGGTGGCCATGCAAAATACTGACTTTCAAGCTCATTATAATTTTATAAACTCTGTTTGTTCCATGTATTTTTGTACACGCTTCAATAAATTGCTCCACATATTTCTCATTCTCCTAACAAAATATAAAGAAATGTCTCACTGTATAAAGCTTCTATAATATCTGATAGGCAGAAAACGTATTTTTAACTACTGCAGCGGACAAGTAGATATATCTATCTGTTGTGCATGGACTTCTTCTGTCTCTGTATTTACACGAATTACAATTCGAAGTGAGAACTCTTTGCTCGAAATGATATATTGAGTCACACATTCTACACTCCGGGGCATTAAGCAGCAGAGAAAGTGAAGTACAGTGCTGTAAATGTATTTGTCTGGCTATCCCAAGTGAGAAGGCATTGCCAGCTCTCCTTGGTAAAGTGGTCAATCACGCCAGGCGACACTTGTACTGTGTTCCAACGGGCGTGGGTCTGCATCGTGTCGCGGAGATGACATAAAGGAAATAAAGTGTGACCTAGAAAAGCATTGCAAATGTGATGTTTTTAGAATTTGCTCTGATTAATGGAAGTGTTTCATTTCTAAAACAACATTTAAAAAAAGAAAATGACACAAACACCAACACATTTTCAGACTGTCCATGTCTTTCTGTCGAAGTGTTACTTCTTTGTAAGGATTGCTATCGTATATATCTCAGCATTGTGTTAACACACAAAGCACAATCAGCTTATCGGCAATGATACTAAAAAAGCTGGATGGCAGCTCTCTGTTAAGAGGGAGCTCTTGCCAAAGAGAGAAACTATCAATTTGCCTATAATTAAGACATAGCAATTAATCCCAGCATATGTTTGGCTATGAACTGAACTGTTAACATTGTGAAAAAGAAAAGGAGGTGTCAAAGAACTTAAAGGCAATTTCCAGCCAGCTCTCTGCCTACACAGGTTTTATTTAGTACTTGATGTTTGCTCAAAAAGGTCTGATATGACCAAATGAATTACTTCCATGAAAATGTCTGCTGACTTTAATAATACCCCGTTGATTGTCTTCATATGATGCAACAGCTGCCACATTTACATTTGCAGTTCTGCCCACATATGTATGCACTTGTTTGATATGTAAGCTTAGCTTAGCATGTGACTGCCTAAGTGACAACCCACTGTGAAGAGGTAAGAAATTGGTTTAATATACTGTAGCATAAACACAACAGGACATGCAACAGCACATAGCGTGAGGATTAAGTATATGGTTTGCAGTGAGATCAAATTATCGAGGGAAACACACAACTATGCACCCACATGTGCACAGACATGCATGCACGCACGCACAAACACACACACACACACAAACACCCACACACACACACACACCCACCACACACACACACACACACACACACACACACACACACACACACACATACAATCCATCAAAGCTCTATTCTGTATGCATGGTTGTTTGTGCCAAAAGGCCTATGCTGGTATTCATGATTTCAAAGGACCATTGACTTTGAACTCCCAAAAGCAGGCTGAATCTGTTGTGATAGATTCTCACATTCACATACACAAAGATTTCCTTAAGGCCTCGCAGGAAGACACCCTTTCTCCCAAACCCTCTCTTTCCATCACTGTTCCCAAAACAGCTTGGCAAAACATCCTGGAGGCCATACTTTAGATTACGATGTCTCCCTGTTCCTTCTTTTTAACTTTGCAGCCTCTTTGTCTGGCAAGGGGGACAGTTTGTTTTATTTAAATATTAACCTTGCAAAACCTCTGCTTTTGAAAATAAAGAGGAAAAAAAACAAGTAAATATCCAAAAATATTGTTTAGGATGCAGGAATAAAAAGGTTCTGGCTCCAGCATCACTCACATAAATGTAAAGGCATATGGATTCAAAGTCCAGGGGAAAGTGATATAGAATTCTTTGCCTTAGCAGTCTTAAATAAAAAGCACTTACACTGTGATAATTGCTCAGGCTGTGAGTGATTACACACTAAGCAAACACACTCTCACTTGGACTGAAATTAATTCAGGAAGAAAAAGGTTATTATTCAGAAAGCTGACAGCATTTTTGTTATAAACTGTCTTATGTTTTAATGTCTGTGTATCCATTAATTCCTTTACTCCAACACAGAATCCATTTAAAGTCTGAAACAAAAAGCCAGAGCAAATTTAATCGCTGAAATTAATATTCCTTTTTAATGTCGGTGTTTCCAAAGTGTTTTTTCCCCTAAAGGGGACACTTGGAATAGAAAATTAAAACTGCACAGAGACAATATGCATAACCAAAGTTTACCTACAGCCTATTTTTACATATTTATGTCTCAGTTGACAAAGGTACTGGCAAAGGCACAGCCTGTAGTGTGACAAGCTACAGAAATTATTGCTCCTATCTTGTCCCACCATTTTTTTCAGAGCGTGCTGCAATAGGGCTTCAGTTGCTGGAGAATCCAACTTCACTCCACTGGCAACCCGATGAAGATGTTTCTACTGGACAGTCTGTGCCAGATTATCCTTAACAGCCCTATTAGCTGGGGCCGAAATGCTGTCTTAACTGTTTTTGACAAAGTGTAGTTTTAATAGATAGTTTTGGAGACAATTATAGAAGAGTTACACGGTCGGGTTGTTCGACGATCTAAACTTAGTCAGCCGTGGAAGAAGCACACCGGTCCAACACAGACTTCTAGTCTACGGTTCTATAAGTGAAAGTTTGAAAGGAAATGTGGACTTAATTCCCATGGATAACCACAGGCGTAAACAGAACTGAAATCTCTACTGAGGGGAAACTGTGAAAATGTATTTTAGCAATGTGCAAATCATTCAGTATGTTAATTGACAATCAAATTAATCCACTAAAATATCAATCCAACCGCCTCCAGTCGACTTTAATACAACTGTACATTCAAAACAAAACTGAATACAATTCACTTTGTGACAGCATTACACATAAATTCAATTACAAACAGAATTTCTATGAAAAAGTGTTGGTTAAAACAAGACTAATACTCACAGTCACTGTGATGCTCAGAGGAGCAAAACATGATGGTCAGCACGCTAGCATGCAAACAAAGACATTTTGAGACCTTTTAAATTGTTTACCATGTTAGGCCTCATTTGCACAAGCCTAGAGACCCACTGGCACTGCCCTCCTAGTAATGTCTAGTTCTAGGAAAAATCCCCAACTAGCTGACAAGTGATTGCTGGTGGCTGCTAGCTGTTGGCACGTGACAGCTTGTTACAAGTAGAGTACTGCATCATAAACCTCTTTGTGATGCTTTGTTAACTTGCAGATTGCAGCAGTCACCCATAGTTTTCAGACAAGTTGGCATGTTTGATAGAAACTACTAGCAATTGCATCAACCTGTTGGCAACCAAAGCAACCACCAAGGAAGCATTTGGTGCAGCAACCTAAATATGCACTGATGGTTGCCAAATGGTTACATACTAATCTCTAGACCTGTGGGACAGGGGCGTTAGTTTAGCAACTGATGCTGAGAGAAGCGTATTAACTTTCAGAACTTCATCACAAAGTACTCTCTGCCTTCTGAAAAACTCTGAGTTGTGTAAATGCGGGTGACATAAATTTCTGCACCAAATTTCAGGATATTCCATTTAAGATTTGTAAGGATGTTTTATTCAAGACCACAACTGTCACTCGAGGCTTGGTGGGATTCCAAAGAAAAAAAAAACAATCACCAAAGTCAAGGACACAAAATGCCAGAAAGATCCATTCGGTATTTTGAGTAGCTGAGATATTTTACTTTGAATCAAAGTGGTTAACTAATACAAACACATTGCCTCCACAAATCCACAGTGCTATCACAGTTGAACAGTTTGTTCCCATTCAGAAGCTTTGATGATGTCAAAGCAGACTTTGGCTTGCTTTAATTGAAGAGAGACATTTGGTCAGTTAGACGAACATGAACTATGCAGGCAAGTGGATGGAAATTCAGGAGCTATGACAGTGATGTGGTAATGTTCTACTTTTGCAACTTTGAAGAGGCAAAAAATGTCAAGTTTAATACAGCAAGAGAGAGAGAGAGTCTTGGTGTATCATGTTAATGGGGATGGTACTAACCAGGACACACTGCTATGTTGCAGAGTTTGGTCTGAACCTCAGGCCGTCCACAAGCTACAGCCCCGCTGCCGTCCATGCACTTCCTGGTTCGTGTCCTGGAGCCCCGCCCACAGGTCACAGAGCACAGACTCCATGACGACCATTCCTCCCACAGCCCATGCACTGCGAACACCCACAAACATGACGCACAAAAAGACACGACATGGGGATGAGGGTTGAGAGAGGAAAGGAAGGAGAAGGAGTGGAGCATCCCATTGCAGGCAGGAGGGTTTGAGAATGAGAAAAACGAGAGATTAAATGATGAGCACATTCCTTTAAAAAAAGAAGAAGAAAAAACACAAAGGAGGTGACCTTATGACCTCCAGGAAACCCACCCAATTACAAAGGAAAAGACAGACTGAGTATGAAACAGCACTTACATGTTACTAATATGAACAAATGAAAGTTAGGAATGGACACTGGTATTTGAAGTCATGCAGCTCGAATCAAGACAAGGAAATAAATGGTGTATGCTTTTTCCTAAAGGTTTAGTCACCCAAGCATTAAAAAGCTTTTCTTTTATCCCCATTTTTCCTTCCTCATGTTTTCTCTTTATTGCACTCCATTGCGCATTTTAACAAAATAAATAAAGACAGAATAAAGAAACAGTGAAGTTGGACCAAAGTCCTAGAACCTGCCATGTCAGAGAAAAGACACACACTTTCACACATACACATTCACAAAATTTAATTACTAAAACCATTTCGAGATGTCTCACCTAAAACTAGAGGGAATAATAATGGAATGATGGATATTATGGGGAAAAAAAAGAATACACAGAAAGTGAAGGCTCCAAAGAAGGAAAAGATCAATTTCAGGCCTGATTAAAAGGAAGAGAATAAGAACAGGTGAACATGAAAAACGTGGGAGATGATAAGAAAAATTGAAAGAACACGCAAAGACGATTGGAGACTCACAAAGTTTGGGTGAATACGAAGTAGGAAATGAGTCCAAGAAAATGAGGTTATTTTGAAATGTTCAGTGAGAGGAGATTAAACTGTGTTGAAAGAGCCAGAAGAAAGAGAGAGGAACCGATGCTGGAGAGAGATGGAAAGCAGGAGATGAGGAGGGGAGGGACAGAGAAGGGAGGACAAGAAAGTTGGAGACAGCAGGATGAAGATTGCTGGTCCTGTGTTGAGCAAAGCTAAATAAATCATGCCGATAAATAATTAAGCCTCGTCTGTGAACGATGGCTTAGAGGAAGAGTAGAAGGCTGAGAGAGAGGGAGGGAGAAGATGGTGGTATTAAAAAGTATGAGAGATATGGAAAGCTGTTAATAGTTCTTAAATTTAGAAGAAAAAAACCATGGTGTTACTATGTCTTTAAGCTGCCCTATAAAATACATATACGATACATGAGCGGGAAAGAGCATTGGTAAGCATTTGTGCTTCTCTTGCTGCAAATTTAATGACATGTTCTTTTTAAAGTAAGCTCATTAGTGGTCCTTGTTGACAAGTTGCATGACTGGGTTCTGGTAAATATTACTTCTCTTGGATGTTGGAGCTTCGATGTAATGAATGATGTATGTGCAGAGCTGACATTGAAAGTCTGCTTTGCAATTTATCTTTGAAAGTTTATTCATGCTCACCAAATATCAGAGTTTAAAGGGAGTACCCATGAGCAGGATTTGTGACATTACAAGTAGTTACAAGCACTACAAGCCAATCCTGGTCCAAGAGGCAACTTAAAAAAAATTGTGATGAAGAAACTTGATGCCTGAAAATTACACACACAGTCATTCCGGTATTTTAGCTATGTAGCTATGAAACTCTTATCTAATGGGCTGGTATACAAATAAAAAACAAAACAAAAAAGCACAAACAGTTATTCGAACTGAGTACTTCTGTACAGCTTTAAAAACACCTGAGAATAATCTTCACACTCATCAGAGGCATTTAGTAAATTGTAAAGCTAAATACATCAAATAGTCTAATGTAAACATTAACCTAATGTCAATGTATTCAATTGTTAGCAGTAGGGATGTCCATGACTAGTCCACTAGACTTAATCATTGCTATTGTCACTAGTCGGTACCTAACATAGCAGTCATTTAATTTAAATGTTTTAAATTTAAATTGATGCCCAATGTACGTAAATTATTATGCCCTAAATGTTATGTAGCCATCTGGCACCAGATGAAGCATCATTGCTGAGGAACCCCATAAATCTGCTAATCTCAGCCTGATCTTTGTTGTTGACACTATCATTTTTCTTTAAAGACGAAAGAACAAGACTGCAGATAAAAGCGGTGGAAATTAGCTTTCTCCGAGGGGTGGATGGGCTTTCCTTTAGCAATGAGGAGAGAAGTTCACTCATTCAAGAGGGGCTCAGAGTTGAGCTGCTGCTTTTCCACATCGAAGAGAGCCAGCTCAGGTGGGTGCCTCTTGGGTAAGGTGTTCTAAACTGGCATGTCCTACCGGGAGGAGGACACGGGGTAGACCTGCTGGAGAGATTACATCTAATTCCTCTGTGTTTCCCCCAAGTAGCCTGAGGAGGTGGCAAAAGGGACGTCTGGGCTTCGTTGCCTAGGCTGCTACTCCCACGGCCCAAATTCAGATAAGCAGAATAAAATGGATAATTTATGGTTTTGTTATTTTAGATTTTAAGTCTCACTAAAATGGTTGTGGTAAATTTTGGACCAGCAGTCATTCATTCATAATGCACAGCACAATGCGCTGCACTTTCCAGTCACAGTTTATTAGTACATGAGCTAATACATGAACATCTTTAACATGTTTCATTTCTGATGAGGCTTTGGTGAACCAACTGAAGGACCAGATGTATCTTTTAAGTCCTGTGTCAAAACTTTCCTTGATTTTTTTTTCTTAACGACATAACTTTCATATACTGTTCATCTGATGCAAATACTATTTCTGTTTGATTGTTTTGTTTTTTGTTTGTTTGGGGCTACACTGCACACCATGGCAACCTATGCCAGATTTACAGGTATACAAATTATGCCTGTCACACTTTGTTACCCGCTACCTGTTGCAAAGATTTATTCCAATTTCTTTATCTATGAAACAAGCCAAAGGCAACAAATTGCCTAAAGGTACGATTGTCATGTGCAATTGGGCTGTTGATGTGTAGACACAACACTGATTCATCCTTCGAGTTAGTAGATTCCTTTTTTGTGTTTAAGTGATCCATGGGTCAGTGTTAAGTTGCATAACAAACAACATTCATCTGAAAATGCTCAGGTACAAGTAATTCACCAAAAATGAATAAAAACCAAGTAATGGCCAAAAAAAAACTTTGAAAGACCTTCAGACAGCCTACTGCTCAAGAGCCATTTGAAAACATTATTGGAAATTCTGGCTCCTTAGAAGCGAAATATAAAGAAATGATGAGTGGGTTTTGCACAGTATTTGCAACTGGATGTGTTTGGACTGAATATTATTGGGACTTCTGAGCCATTCCCAGTATTATTTCTTTTCCTCTGAAATACATTTTCGATTTTTTGGAGTCGAAAGTGAATTTTGTGATTAATTTGCAATTTGTAGTCACTGATTTCAAAGGTAAAGTATGGCATGGGATCTATTTCTGTATCAATAATCAAGCAACCCCTTACTATCAAAACATTGAATGGAATATATTTTGCTAATATGAGTAACATCTAACCAGCATTTAATATATTTTTAGACTGCAGAACATAATACAATGCTCTGTGCTGTTACTTGCTATCTTCATCTACAACAACATGGGATTGCTTGTTAAACATGATTTATTCATTAGAATTGAATCTCCAGCTGTCAAATTCAGTACAAGTGTATCTGAAGTCTGACCATGCAACACCAATCAACTGGCCCCTAAAAACAAGCTTCAATCAGCTTTGGGACAAAAATACAATAAAAGAAAAAAAGTAATTTGGAAATGAGGACAACAACAACAAAAAACCATGATGAAATATCCTCACAAACTGGCTGATGAAAGTATTAAACACCTGACCAATTATATTTTGAGGTATTTTGAATCATAAGCAAAGCAACACAGGCCAAATTGCTGAAATACATAACATATTTTAGTTTAACTAAGGGCTTTAAAGGGGACCTTTTTGCTATGTTGCAGTCACAGAGGGAAGTGCAAAGGAACATATTTGCAGCAGCTGAAATAAAAGGTATGAAATAATACACTGATCTGAGATCAAACAACAGTGTGTCATGTCTGTTTGCCTCATAACATCTGGCAAAAAAAACATCATGAACTGCGTGAGCTCCATTTTGGGAGCTAAAAAAAAGACTGGAAATAAAGCAACAGACTTGCTCATGCTGCCCCACATTTCTGATGCAAATGCAAGCAAGCTTGCACATGCATGGTTATGCACAAGTACACATTCACACAAGAAACCATAATGAGCTTACGGGTAATAAAGATGCATGTTTTCTAAAGATGTCCTTAAACTCTTTCCAGTTTACACATACAGTGCTGTGTGCTGTATTGAGATATCAACTTTTAATTTTCCCATTTCTATTTTTTGCAATGCATATGGTGTAATTAGACATATGCATCACATAATGTCCTTATGGATTACCATAATTACCAGCAATCTCATCTATTGTCAGAGGACCGCATGGATGCATTATTTAAACATATGTATGAATGTGCGCACATGTGTGAAGTTTGTGCTGTAAGCCTGATATGAGACCATGACTACACCCCGTTAAGTTTCTTGCTTGAATGATTACTGGAAGCAGTGTTGCTGCATTTGACAGCGCACTGACCCGGACATACTTTATTCACAATGCGCTGTTGTTCCACTTCATGTTTTAAATGTCAGTGAATCTATGGTAAATGAGCAATAGCTAAACAGAACACGAGTAGGGAGTACTACTTCACTTTGCATGCTTTGGGGCACGAAATCCTTATACTTCATTGCATATTCCACAAAAAGAAACAAAAAAGAAAATGTAATTTGTGATGCCAATTACCAACTAGTTTGCTTTGTCATGAGCAAGACCATTATTTAAAATTGATTATCTGTATCACCTTAATTTAGGGGTTTTACCCAAAATTAAGCCAAAAATAAAAAAAAGTCCATTTTCACTCCATTTGCTTTCTGTCCAAGCTATTTTTCTTTGATGTTCCCTAACTTTTGCAGTCACACACATACACACACATACTGCACAGCCTTCCACAGTTGCAGATAGATATATGCCCAGAGACATATCCACCCACACTGATACAACACCCACACCCAAACACAAATTAATGGTAAAAGAAAGAAAGACAGAAATCTGGCAAACTCATCTACCAACTGAAGTCTACACGTTGCACTCCATTTCAAGCCACTCTGGGAAAAACCAAGTGCACATGTTTTCACTTATACTTGTGTGTCTTGCATATTTGCACAAGCAAGTCAATGTATATGGAACTGAATAGATGACATACATAAATACATTACATATTTTGGCACAACTGGCTGTTGTCTTCTGTGCAGTAGGTCTGGAAGGGAAAACTCATGCTTTTTTTTTAAAAGGAAACCAACTAAAAAAAGCAAAGCAAACTAACTTGTTTAGGAGAAAAGTAGGAAGTCACACTTTAATTCCACTTGACTATATCCTTGATTTGTGTGTTTGCATGTGTGTGCCTGCCATAAGCCATAAACATCAGCTTGAATCCAAAAGTAAATAGATTACCAAATCAAGCAAGAGTGTAGATTTTACGCCACAAAAGAAGAGAAGGAAAGTTTAAAAAAAAAAAACCCACCCACCCACACACACACACATATAATTTTTTAAGTCAATCACACAAAGTTTATTAAAGACTTTTATGTCTTTTTGCTACCACCCCCACATTCCCCATCTATTTTAAATTGGTGTGATCCCGTTCAGGCGATCCCTGGAGTGCCCCTAAACCCCTCCAGAACCACGTCAGAAAACATCAGAGGAGCGGCGGAAAATGAAATAATAAACGGAACATAACACAGCAACCAATATCCCATCAAAGGAGCTGCTGAGGATATTAATATCGACGCTGAATGGAAAATGAGGCACTTAGACATACAAATCGGGCTGGCAAATTTGCATAAAAACAAGATTAGCATATGCACTGACAGGGAGGAAAAATGTTCCTCTGGCTTTTTTCTTTTTGGAATTGGTGGAACTAGTGGGGGTCTGAGATGCATCAGTAAACACCGAGTCTTTACTCACATGTAGTATATTCTGTGCCACATACTTTACAGAGGAGTCACTGATAAAGCTCTCACGAACATGCATACAAAAAGCTAAAAGAACTGAACTTAAAACAAAAAACAAACTTAAGTAAGGCCAAAATGTACTTTACTTTATGTGGTCAACTTTGGGTAAAAGGCTAGAATCTGTTATTATCAACTACGGCTAGGTTCATTTAGCTACCTTCACTGTATACGTAAAAGCGATGCTAATATGAGCTAGCAGTAAACTGAAGTGTACTGAGCAGAAAACATGAATAGTGTCCCTTACTATTACTGTATGTAGGTGGTAAGTCGTATTTAAGTTTTAATTTTTAAAAAATGGTAACTTCAAATATTATAGTTTTTTTATTAAATAAAAAAAAATGTCAGACAGTATCAAATCCCGTTTCCTGGGATAGTACACTTGTTGTGCATGGGCCTAAACAAAACCCCCCCTCCAGAACACCATCCCAGACGGCCTTAAGCATGGAACTAAATCTATATAAAAAGGAAAGAAAGAAAGAAAGAAACTGGCTACAGTGGAGAGAGGATGCCCGACACAGTAAAGGAGGGTGTGCTGACTGTACTTTTGTTAGAGTCAGCAGTTCGATCTCAGTATCGATAGTATCATTATCAACACTGGTATGGGTATAGGATAAATACTAGAATGACAGTATCGATACTTCGTAAGCGCAGTATGAAGTCTAGTGAATTGTGTTCAATAAAAAAGATATTTAGTTGGTAAGGGATCAACACCAAAATTTGCAGTATGGCACAACACTTTTCACTCAGCATTAGCAGTGGATTAGGGGAGGGGCCGTAAAGAGGGGCCATCGAGAGAGATACAGGTCATACAGGGTTTCACCTCTGTTCTAATCAGACAAATCAAACCAATGCAGGACAGGCAGAAATTCATAATTCCATCTAGTCAACATTAAAGCCTGGCAATCAAAGCAAAACAGAATTGGCATTGTTCAGTAGCAGCTGTGTACACTTATTCTTTCAGTGACTTCATCCAGCTTGATTGAGCAGTTTTGTGTTGCTAAAAAAAAGGGAAAAAAAGAAGAAAAAACCTCAAAGTCTTCATTTCGTTGCTGCAGTTTTGCAGAAAGCAGATAGAGCCGACTGCACCCACCCACTCTTGTAGTACGCATATGAAAATGTAATTTCAGTGGTATTTTGGAGGTGTCACTGCAAATTATGAGACCAATTTCAATGAAAGTAAAGAAAGAACAAACAAAAGAGAAAGAAATCCTCGCTTGTACTTCAGCTTTTGAACATTTTCCTTGCTTGCCACTGAAATGTGAGCACAGATTATTTTGCACGGAATGAGTTCAACATTTGCTTCGACAGGCTTAGTTTCCTCTGCAAAATTAAAACATTTTCAAAAGTTCGCCTGCTCATTATGCTCTGAAAGATCAACTTGGTGATACATATAGACAAGAAAAAGGGAAAGGAAAGAAATGAAGAGTGGAAGAGCAGAGGAGAGCTAAAGATAGAGAGCCCAGGAAGTATTAACTTCAGTGATGTGGCAGGTCTAATAGATTGGGTGACATCAAACTCAAGGCTGTCAGTCTGTCTCGCTTTCTCAAACACACACACACACACACACACACACACACACACACACACACACACACACACACACACACACACACACACACAACCACAGAAACTCCTTTTCTCGTTCTCCCTCTTCCAGCTTTGCCTGCATTGTGAACTGAAATGACACAGTGGCGTTCTCCTTCTGTTCAGCTAAACCGCGTTTAGATGTGTTTTGGCCGTGCGTGTGTCCGTGTTGTGAGTATACTGCCTACCTTTCTCACACTGTCATTATTTTCTTCTGTTTTCTTAACACTTTTGTGAAAGGAAAAGAAGGAAGAAAAATAGAAACAAACCGCTACATGGTTGAGTGAGGTTGGGTTAAAGCTACATTTTTTGCTGTACCAAACAAAGGCGGTGGGTGTATGCGGCACTGAAGAGAGAGGACACCAACCAGTTTTTTTTACTAGCATTTGTACAAAAAAAGACTCAAAATAGATAAAAAGTCATAGTGTGAAGTCCATGTCGTGTTTATCTACTGTGTAAAGCTGAGCATCAGACAAATGGCACTCAGAAAAAGAATTAACCCACCGCATTCTCGCTGTGAGCAAAAATAAAACAGTCAGGAGAAGTGAATGAGGCGCTGGTCAAAGGCAGCCGGTTAACGCACCTGAGCCTGTGATTCCGGGTTCACCTGGGCAAGAGGCCGTGTTGTTGCACATGCGTGTTTCCCGCAGGGCACCGCTGCACAGTGTCCCATAGGGAGAAGAAACACACGATCGGGTCCTCACTTGCCAGCCCTGCCCACATGTCAGAGAACACACACTCCACTGCGACCATTCCTCCGCTGCTGGGTCACCTAAGGAGCAAGATGGACATGAACATGGAGAGGATAGTTATATACGCACAGTGTTTTTAATGATCCTGAGAGTCAGATGCGCGGCTAAGATTGAATAACAAGAGAAATCATTCTTTCCTTTTATCACTTGTTCAAATAAAACACATTTGTAACAAGACTGCACTTTATTATCTCACAGCTTAATTTGGTGCCTTCACACGGATGTACTGCTGAAGTCTCCAAAGGCATTTTTATAGAGGCAGTATGAAATTTTCAGCCAATTTCCAAGTGGTCTTGGTAACCCCACGCCACCCCACTTTCTACAAAAAACCCCTGCCTGCTCTGTAGGAGTGTCATGATTCTGGTGTCTCCTCAGGTTAAACAGAAAAGAGACGAGGAAGAGGTAGAAGATGATCTCAGCTCTGCAGCTCAAAGTTTATACTGCTATGTAAAAGTGGCTCGTAATGCAAAAAGCCAACAAAAAAAGGAAAAGAAAAATGATTTCCATAAAGGGTAATTACAATAAATTCCTCGCTTTATAACGGAGTCCTAAAATGTCCCAACAAATGGAGCAGACAGAAACTATTACTGGAGATGTGTAACAATTTTCAAGTATATTTTCGCTTCCAGTTTTCACAGAAGCACCGCCAGCATTAAAAGATGTTTGCTTTATTGATTGCTGTTTAGCGGCTCTCGGATTCCTCTGCTCTTCTGTTTACCATAAAAAAATGAAAAAAACAAACAAAAAAACCCCCATCAAAATCTGCTTTTGGAAAGCAGTGACACTGGTGCAACATCACAACAAAAAAAGACAAACAAAATTGTAACCTATGCAATTAACAAGGAGTAAAAAAAAAGAAACTTTTGGGAATGTGTGACAGGTGATGAAAGTGACACGATGTAGCTTTTTTTCTTTACTTATTCACACTAAGAGTGTTATTGTAAATAAATCTTGACGGGATATTAATGAAGATGATGATCATGCTCCAGGAAAGTTTTTTTTAAAGGTGATTCAATTAATTAATGGAATTATGGTAACACGTATGATCTCACCGCTAAAGGCCTTTAAGTCTCAAAGCAATTCTGTGTGTGTGTGTTTGTGTGTGTACATATTCGACTCTGTGTTGTAAGCACCCATATGAGATTAGGTGTTTAGACTTGATGGAGTCTAATTTGGAGTTCTCCAGGCAGCTGTGGAGAGGGTCCCATTGTTCCACTGAGCTACGCCCTTGAAAGCGAAAACGAGGAGCCAAGTCCCTCCACTTCTCTCTTTGTAAATTGTTTATGAGCGCCGTGTCCTTTGATGGAGGCGTCATCACATGGCAAAGAAGGAAATCAAATTAATTGCATGTCCGTTAATCGCATTACATCTTCATTAACATGCTGTGAGTCAGGGCTTAAGCTCATCACAGATGCCTAGAGGACTAGAAGAATGGGGGAAGAAGCAAGGAAGGGGAGGGGTAGACAGGGTAGGATGAGGACAAGATAGACCCAGGGGTTTCCCTCCTATTAAGGGATTTCCTCCTCTACGCTATATATATGAATATGGAAATGCATGTACATGCAACATGGAATATCTTGTATGTTTAAGGCCGATTCGTATTATATTATATATACATACATGCATGTGACATTCTCATGGTTAATAGATCAGTCTTTGAATAATTTACTCTTTTTTTCCCCAGTCCTTTCCATTTTTTCCAAGTTTCACACGCCGACTCAAAAATTTCACACTTTCACAAACTCACACAAGTGAATGATTAAAGGTGGCAGCTGCCCTAGGTTTGCTCACTGAAAAGGAAAAGGTACACCTTACATAATTATTCATAAAACTGTTTTATAGAAAACTGAGGATTTTCAGTGGGACATACAGCCTGTAAAGGTCAGGTTGTCTTCTTTCGTTCCAGGCTCTGGGCACCATTGCACACTCATAATACTCACCTGTTTGTGCCTGAAACACACCTGGCTGGTCAGCTGATCGTGGTCTTTGGGTCTTCACCTTCAGGTCGTCATCATACGGGTCTGAAAAAAATAACAGACATTTTTTTTTTTCATTTTAATCTTAACTTCCTTTTGATTACATGGTACCGCTTAAAATATATGAGGGCTCCATGGGTTGCATGGGCAAATCAAACCTGAATTTAAAAGCTGTCGTAAATAAGCGCTCATCACCATCCACATTTCACTTTTATGTTCAGGAAAAGTAAAAAAAAAAAATACAGGAAAGCTCAAGTACATCCAAAACACGACTCTGGCAAAATAAAAGTACAAACGCCTACATTTCCTTGGCTTAGTCCTTGTAGCAGGAAATTTAAAGAACATGACGAGACGTTTTAGCACACGCAGCGCGGTAACAGATAACAGACTGTCAAATCTAGTGTATAATCTCAGAAAATCAGGAGGAAGCAAATTTGGACTGGCTCATTAGAGGGGAACATTAGGAGGGGAAAACATGAAAAAAAGAAGAAGTATATCTTCTTTTGAACGCATGCTGATGGTTCAGCGCAGCAAACCAAGTAAATAAAAGTTCTGGCTTGGAGATGAGACTCCAGACACACATATAAAATGCACCAGCGGGACTTGATCTAACAAATATGTGAACATCTCACATAAGCGGTGAGCATTTCTGGAAATGGCATTAAGTCGGTCTCTGAGAGTTAGTGAAATCACACAACATATCTAAGTCAGTTTCATCTCAGCTGGTAGAAACGTGGAGGCATGCGTACAGGCCGTTCTGTCTGGTTCAAATGGATTTGTAGGCTTAGTTTCACCAATGCAAGTCTTAATCAACTCCCTCGGCGGGGGGAAACAATCTTTTCTTTCACAGATCTTTTTTTTTCTCCATCTGGATTCTTCTTACCCAATGGGATCTTTTTTGCAGCAGCTGCATTTATGGAAAAGGAGCTGACACACGTGGCGTATCTAAGGTACATTATCTGCACGGAATGTGATTGTGTGTCTGCGTATTCGATTACAGAGAGCAAAAGTGAAATTTTCTCGAGTTAGCCTCCATCAAGCAGTTGACCCAAGGAAAAACAGAGACGTTGCATATCCTCCCTATCCGGCGCACACGCACACACTCACACATGCAAGTGTGAATGCCTGGGAAGTGTGTTGAGGCTCTGCCATGATTGCACAAACGCCCATTGCTACCAGCCCTTTAATTTGGCCTTTTAGAGAATCAACTCTTTGGTGGGGGGAAAAAACTCTTTACCCGTTTGCTCGTTTTCTGCATTGTTCTCAACGTGATCATTTAACAAAATACTTTTTTTTTTTAACCAATGGAAAAAAAGTAATAATCCTGTTTACGTGCTGTCTGCGCTGTTGCAGGTTACAGCCGTGGGTAAAATAAATAACTGTTGTGCACATGTGTGGTCTGTTTGTTTACTTTTAAAAGAAACTAAAATGGGCAAATGGTGCACCGGGAAAGTATTTAATAAGACAATTAACAGATTTCATTTTCATCTAATTGAATCATTTCTTTAAAAACAAATCACATGTCAGCATTGCATCAGATTAGACAATCAAGCACAGAACGGAGATGCACATGCCAGCATGCCCAGGGATTTGAAGGAGTTTTCATTACGCAATCTTTCTCGGGTCAGCTCGTGGTACAGACGCCCACTTACTTAGCTGCAGGTTTTACAGTCATATTTTACACGGAAAATGTGAGACCTTGAGCGAGCGTATCGTGCTCCCAGAAATTTATGGCTTGCTTTGCCACAGTCCTGGGCTTTATTGACTGTACTCATCATTGACGCTACACTAAGATTAGTCATCCTCCTAAACAAGCAGCATTCATTAGCTGAAATATGGCGTCAAAAGGTAGCTTTTTCACTGCTCTTTTAGTTTTACTCTCAAGCTCAAGCTTGACTCATTGTTAGATTCGTTGAACCTGCAGCCTGGGAGACAAAAGATTCAGCAAGGGTTGAAGAAAATGTCTACACTACCTGACACTGTTGTTGGTAAGAAAGCACCCGTGGTTTCCGTATTATTTGCATCCAATTCAATTCAGTTTTGTTTACATAAGGACAAATGACAAAAACAGTCACCTCATGGTGCTTTATATTGTAAGGTAAAGACTCTACAACATTAATTGGCCAAGTTAAACAAAGTGTGTTAAGAAGGTGTGTTTGTTAAGGCCACCCATCCCTATATGTTCTCATCCCACATTCATCAGTGTGACTTTAGGGTAGAAAATCTGAGTGAAGCTGAATGATCTATGATATTCTATAACAGGAAACAATCAAGTCATCTGCCTCGATGCATACCACTTTAACTGGACAGTCTAGATTTTTTTTAAATTGAACTTTAAGTATTTCAGAAAGTATGTAGAGTTAGTTTGAGCCCAATCCTGGTCCAGAGCAAATTAAGCCCAGTAAGTGCTCGAGGTCAGTGAAGCAGGACAGAAGAGTAAGGTCTCAAAATCTTTATCACCTTACTTGAGTGTATAGTTCTTTACAGAGACTGTACACTCAAGTTTGCTTCCCTCAATGCACAGATCTGTCTTCCTTTAGTTTGTCCACTTGTCTCTTTGGACATAGGTAGGGAAGTAAAATTTATTTATATAGCACTTTTTATAGATAAAAATCACAAAGTGCTTGACAATGAAAAAAAAAATTATGTGACAGTTGGTTCCTTCATGTAAGACACTGTTATGAAGATGTTGCAAGATGAGCATGTGGAAAAAAAAGTGTGTAGACAGTGTTGGGGAGTAACAGAATATATGTACCGGTGTTACGTATTTAAAATAGAAAATATGAGTAACTTTATTCCGTTACAGTTAACGCTGGAATAGGTGATAATTAGAATACAGTTAATTTATTGAAATAAATGGATTACACTGCGGTCTTTTCCTTTTTCATTTGTTAGGCTATCCCCTTTCAGATTTTGGTAATTCCACGCATTGCCGGAAACCCAAGGAAACACACAATAAGAGGCTCTAACGTAAGCGTCCTGTTAATGTTGGTGGCATCAGTTACACAATGGACACGGAGCCAGCACAACAGAACCATCAGTCCACGGGCAGGAATGCATTTCTTACTTGGAAATTTCGACACCACTTCACATTTAAAGAAGAAAGGGATAGGTGAAATCTGACCGTGCAACGCAAACTCTGTTTGCCAGCAAACAAGCTGCTCTCAGCGTCAAAAGACTCCACCTTCAACCTAAAGAAACATCTGGAAGTAAGTTCTTTTTTAAAAACTAATGTTAGCCTACTGCAACTCCCTTGTTTCAGTTGTGGTAGCTACCTGGGTTATGTGCCACCTCAATATCTTTGATGTACTATTGTTGTGTGATTTATTACTATTACTGCATTACAACCTGCTGGCTGCAAATAATCATGTGCAGTTCTGAAAGCAGACAAAAAGAAAACATAGAACTGAACTGAAAATAAATATGGCAACAACGAACTATGGAATTTTAATGAGACATGGCAAAGTTGAAGGAGTCACCGAGTTTGTGAACCAGTGAGTGAACAAGACAGTCGTGGTGCGCTTCCACTGGGGTGCTGAAGTGTTGCTGTGCTTCCTAGCACTGGACACATGATGGACAAGCCATTAGAAAGTGATGATAGATGGTTGACAGTTGCTGTCCCTCTCCTTCTTCTTATGATTGGTGCATGCCGCTTGCGGGCTGTCTTCTCCCAAACTTCAAAACTAAATGAATATAGCGACTCGCTTACAAACTTTCTTCATCCATCTTCTTCTGCTTATCCAATTCTTATCCGGAGGTGGGTGGCTGTCCCAGCTGTCATGGGCCAAGAGGCAGAGTACACCCTGAAGAAATCACCAATCTGTTGTAGGGCTAACACATCAAGACAAACAACCATTCACGCTCACTTAGACTTACCAATTAATGAACCCCATGCATCCCTTTGGACTGTGGGAGAAAGCCTGAGAGCCCCACATGCAAACTCCACATAGAAAGGCCCCCAGGCTGGAATTGATGCCAGGACCTTCTTGCTTTAAGGCAACATTGATAACCACCACACCAATGTGCTGCTCCAACCTTCCTTCATTATAAGAACTCTTAACACATGTGATGCAAGAAATAAGTTATGATTTTGCTGTACCTGTCTTTTGCATTGACAACAGATAGTTTTAGAGTTTTTCACAAGTTAACGGAGGTGTAGCGTAGTAGACCAAACACCCCTAGTTCCCTTGAAGCAGCCTACACTTCAGCTTCATGTAAATGAAGAACTGGCAAAATGCAACGTCGTGCAACCAGAATGCATTAGCATGTGCTACGTCCCTGGTCAAGAGGTAACCTACACACAAAATTACTCGGGACTTCCCACTCTTCACCACACCAAAGGAAGAGTCAACCAGGTCCAAGATACTGAACAGCAGTTTATCTGCACATAAACTCACACACACACAAATCAACACAAGGCCCGATTTACGCCCAAACTGGCAAACTGGCGTTGTTTCATTGCACATACATTTCAAATGATCATGTTTTTTTTTTCATCCTCCATGTTCTTCTCGAATTTTCAAATCTTCCAACTCCCACACCAGAGGTTCACGGTCTGTCTTTTTGCCTTACAGCCCCTCTCCCTCTGTCTGTGGCCTTTTTCTCTCTCGGTTCTATAACAAGATGAGAATTTAGAAGCATGTTAGAAGGATCGATGTGAGATGAGCTTTGGCCCCCCGCGAGATGAGTGGTGACCAAAACAATAAACAAAAACTTCCAAAGACCCTCCTACTCTTCCGTAACCAAAGTGAAAAGGCAAGCAAACGAGTCCTCTAACCTGAGCACCTAAGCACAAAAACGTGAAAAATAATTCTCAATAAAAAGGGTTTTTACCGGTTACAAAGACTATTTTTTGCCAGCAGCTCACAGCTAACAGCACAAATATTGGATTTCACTCTCTCAACTCTCGGATTGAAGTTTGAATTCCCAATTATGCTACCTAAACAAAACTCCCCATTCAAATACCAAACTATCTGCTGGCTCACTGATAGATAGGGAAGAGGGGAGGAGAGAAGGGTGAAGTGGAGTTCAAGAGGGTGTAAACA